ATATAACTTCATTCCAGTAATCAGAATTCTTATTTATGTTGGATTTTGCGAAAGCCAGTCTGAGTTTTCTATTCTTTTCACTTACGAAGAATTTTTTCCTGGCTGCTCTACCGTGATATCCAGCAGATCGAATTACTCTTCTAATAGTCTCAGGATTAACAATTACTCCATATAATGCTAGTAAATCAGCAGCAACTTTAGAAGCACTCATTCTTGGATTTTTTTAAATATTTCGAGCAGTAATTCTATTCCATTGGATAAGCTTTGATGGTCGGCCAGGCCTTCTTTTATCCTGAATCATATGATTCTTTTTATATCGTTAAATGATATTAGAAACTGTTGAATGACTCAAGTTAACTGTTTCAGCAATTTCTCTAATAGATTTTCCACGTTCAATATACAAATTAATAACTAATTTTCGAATTTCAGGCAAAGTTTCTTTTCGTTTAGCATTTCATGGCACCACAGAGCTAAAAAACACAATAATTCCAAAACAACTGGAGAGAAATACTGCAGACGATTTTATAAATTATTGCCAATTGCTTTTGAGTAAAAAAAAAAATCCCAAAAAATATTTTTATTGTAGTACGTAGTAGTATCTAATGGTTGTCCCATCATGTGAGCCATTTTTTGCTCCGTTCTAAACAATTGGTATTTTTATTAAATTAATATTTTAATATTTGAGAAAATGTATGTTATGTATAATTGTTACTAATTTAAGTTGAACACACCACAAAAAATTTACATTTTTTAAATTTATTTATTACAGTTTTCTTTTGTAAAATACAAGTGTCCCATCACTTTTGTGAGACACTGTATAAATATATTTATAAATATATCCACTCTGTTAAAATCTTAATTTTCTTGTGTGAGCACTGAAAAATAACTGTAGAAGGAAAGAAGAAAATTAGAGAGAAAAGTAAGCAAAAATTTGCAGGGAAATTTGGCTGTCAGACGTACCAAGATGTTTCAAAAAGTTGGACGCTTTCGAATATACTTTCAGGATACTTCAAAGAATTTAGGTGTTCAAAGAGAAAACACTTGGATGAGTACACCAGCAAATATCATCAATTGAGCTTGTGGTTAACAGAAAAGACAAAACGATATCATTGCAGATTAAAGTGAAGAGCGACTGGTTTTAAACTATATGATTGTGTAAATTACGTTATAGAACATCATATCGTATCATAAATGGTGAATCCCATGATTTCCTCAGTCGAATTATTTAAAGATTCAGGAGTTTATCCAGTGATGTATGTGGATGTCACTTAAAGATGTTTTTTTTCCTTCCTGATGAAACAGCGGCCGAGAGGTAAAGTCGCTGAACACTGGTAGTTCGGTCCGAGGTTCGAATCCCGCGAACGGGCTGGCTGCATGAGCGTTTTCGTGGTTTTCCCCATGTGTAACGTGTATGCGAGCCAGTTTCCCTTAGAAAGTCCTCCAGGAAGGGCATCCCTCCCCTTAGGCAGATAGCCGTAGTGTGCTTTGTCATAATAAAATAAACCAAAACCTTTTGATGAAACCAGTCTTTCCTTTCATCTCATACCTTCAAAATGTGTAGCCTCTAAAGACTGATAAAGGCTCTGACGAAATACTTCGTGAAGAACTTTCTAAGGGAAACCAGCTGTCATACGCGCGGTACACATGAGAAAAATCCACGAAAACGCCCATGCAACCAGCCCGTTTACCGGGGTTCGAACCCCGGAGTGAACTACCAGTGTTCAGCAACTTTTACCGCTCGGCCGTTTGTTTGGGAGCCTTTATGAAATGGAAGGCGATAACTTTATTTAAAATGATTGTCAGAAATACCAAAATGTTTCGAAAAGTTAGATACTTTTTCAATATACTTTTCAGAATGCTTAAAGAAAAGAGAAGAAAAAATAAATTTTTTCGTAAAATTTAGTATTCGTATTTTTTTTAATTTAAAACTTTTTCAATCTTATGATATTTGATTCTTGCGATTTCAAAAATAAAATATTGACTATAATATGAATAACATTTTAAGAAACCAAATGTAGGATAAAATTGTGTAAAGCAATGGGCACAATGATAAAACTGTTTAAAGCAGTGTATGCAAGTCATCCTAAGTTAAAATGTCGGTTATACATCTCTCTTATTTATATATTTTTTTTCTGAACGGAACATTGAAAGGCGTGTAAAACTGTGCTTTAATGTATTTTCTCTTTTAATATAGTATGCAGTTTTCAAACGCATCGTAGTCTGGGTTACAAAGTATTCTTCCGAAAAAACAGTTCAAATAAATAAAATCAAATTCTGCAAAATTGATATTAATAAATATATTTAAAATGCTCAGTTCGAAGGAATAAATAGAGAATTTTAAAACAATTATCTGAAGAGACAATGCAACACAAACAATTAAAATAAAAGTATAAAAATTTAAAAATGACCTAATATAATAACTATGGCGAAAAATATATATAAAGAAAACTATTTGAAAAAAAAATAAATAAACGCTGCACCTTTATTTACGCAGTTCGAATAGGTAAATAGAAATTTTTAAAACAGTTATTCGAAAAAAAAAAAAAGTGCAACTTAAACAATTAAAATGAAATTCGAAAAGAAAAAATTACTTAAAATAATAAGTTATAATTAAAAATATAATATAAAGAATATTATTTGGAAAAAAAGGAACGATGGTGACTTTTTTTCCTAAGGAAACTAGGTTGCCATCTATTAAGAAGTTCGCCAAGTGAAGTATTCTTGGCGCAAACTGACAAAAAAGTGCCAACATAAATTTGTGAATTTCTCCGTAAATTTCGCTCCAAATTTTACAGAATTTCATATTTAGGCGTAATTTGAGTCGTAGAATCGAAATATGTAAAAACATTGGTATGTTATTTCAGAAAAAGTCCGATTTTGTGTCAAAATACCTATGTTAGAATAGTGCTATATATAAATCTAATATATATCCTAAGTCGCGCTTTCGAGACATGAAGAACGCAATTTGAATTTTGTCAATCGGCCCAGTAGATCGGGAGATATAGGACTGTCCCATTTTTTTTTTTTTTTTTTTTGAGCAGTGTACATGGCTATGTACCATGGAATATTTTAGCATGCGCATGAGTAGCGCAATAAGTGAAGTTATTGCACCCAGCATCTGAGTCTTTGATATACGTCTCAGGTTTAATGTAAACATAGTATCTCAGTCACTAATTTTTTATGTAACATATGTTTAATGTTTATGTATAATGTTGTTTCCATAATCGATTATGTAACTCTCCACAAGTTTCATCCCCTGCATGTAAATAACTATGTACATAGATTATTTTAACGTGCCCCTGTGTGGTGCAGTTAAGTGAAGATTTAATGCAACCAGTGCCTTCATTTTTGATATTTAGGCTACGCCTGTTTAATGTAGATATAGTATTTAGACATTAAATTTCATGTAACGTGTGGTAATGTATGTGTAATGTATCTAGATGTTTTCCATGTAATGTATGTGTAATGTATCTATGATATCTGTGTTTGTATCTTATAATTCAGTATGTCTCCACACATGATTGTCTTATGCATTATTATCTAACTATTTTCTATGCCTTACTTACCCCTGCACATATATAACCTTGTACCATAGAATACTTTAATATGTGGCCTGTGTAGCGCAATAAGTGAAGCTTAATGCACAGCGTCTGAGTCTGTGATATCCATACAATGTCTGTCCAATGTAAACATAGTATCCAAGTCATTAATGTTTACGTAACAAAAGTTTAATGTATTTATGGATATTGGGTGTTAATAATTGTTAAGTAACTTTTTCCATGTTTTTTACCCCTGCATGTAAATAACTATGTACCATAGAATATTTTAACGCGCCCCTGTGTGTAGAGTAGTAAGTGAAATTTTAATGCAACTAGTGCCTCAGTCCTTTGATATTTAGGTAATGTTTGATTAATGTAGGTATAGTAGTATGTTAGTTATTGATTTTTATGTAACATATGTTTAATGTATTTATGATATCTGTTGTTGGTATGTTATATTTCAGCATATCTCCACATATAATTGTTTTATGCATTATCATCTTACTGTTTCCAAATCCTACCCCTGCATGCATATAACGTTGTACAGTAGAATATTTTATCTTACGCCAGTCAGGCGCAATAAGTGAAATCTAATGCACCTAGGCGTCCGAGTCCTTGATATTTATATTGACACTGGTGGACGTGGCGCTACACCAATTAACCATATGGTAAAGGGGTGGTGCCCACGTCCTCCGTCGCATGTCGCATGTCGCATGGGCTTGGGAAGTGCTGCATACAAAGAACTTCGTTGAAAAACTTGGTGAGGATTAGGATCATCTTGGTAAGAAACTTCTTCACCATGGAGTTAGTAATTCTGTTTCCTTTTTCTAGTGCAGCTGAGTATGGTGGTGCAGCTGAGTTTGCTAGTGCAGCTAAGAAATTCTGAAGGCATAACTGGACTAGTGTTGTCCGTGTGTGGAATTGTTGTAAAATTGGAGTGGAAACTAGAAACTAGGTTTTCTGTTGTAATGTCAGTAATGTTCATGGAAAACTGAGATTCCAGATGCTGTGCTAAAAGTTCTGCATTCACAGTTTCTCTATAGTGGATCCTGTTGGGGGCCTTTAAGGAGCGTAATTTTATTGTGGCATTTTTTATACCTGGACAGGTCTCTGCACAGTGAATAATCATCTGTAGAGAGTGAGTCCAGGTAGTTCGTCCAACCATTTTGTGCTCGGAGCTTTGTAAGAGATTTGACTGCATTGTTGAGATGGTTGAATTGTTGTTTATCTTCTCGACTTCTAGCGCGTTAGAACTGCTTTCTGGCAGCATTCCTTCTCTTGATCAGGGATCAAATTCTCTGGATCTGGTATATTTGCTGGATTTGATTTCTTTATGCTCATAAGCAGTTTAAATTTTTTTGGTGAGATCTTCTAAGTAACTGTCAACGTCATCCCCTGTATGGAATGAAGGTAGTGTGTAGTGAATGTTGTTGAGAGCTTTGTCATATGATTGCCATCCAGTGGAGCATTGGCAATTTTTAATAAGAATTCACATAAGCATTATTGCAAAGTCAATAATGCTAGCTAGAGGAACCAATAGCACACCGTGTTGAAGAAAAATTCGCTTATTAACAGAACTGGAACTGGATAATCTTTACCAAATCATCGTAACAGGTGATAGCAACGTTAAACATATTGATTGGGGCTCTCGGCGCACAAATACCAACTACCGCGTTTTGCACAGCTTCATTACTAATCATACCTTACATGTTCCGATCGAATCTTCCTACACACCTGTTGATCCACGTAAATCAGATATTCTAGGCATTATATTATCTAACACCTCTATACCTGTTGCTCTGGAAGTCAAGGCAGAATTTTCTGATTATCGCTTCTATAGGTATTACTAAAGAAGATGGCCCCATCATAAAAAATAAAACTGTTTGGATTACCGTTCATAACATCTTGATTAAACATCTGTCAAATGTTTTCCCTCTTTCAAGTAAACATTACATTGATTATGCTATTAAAAAACTCACGGACTTATATCACGGAATATCTTAAAAACTTATACAGATGTTATTGTTACAATTCAACTTACAAATCATAATATTATACTTCTACGCAGTATCAGAGACATAATTATTAAAGAACGAAACAGAACGCTTAAACTGTTGCACAGAAACTGGGATCAGACTTAAAAATAGAAATCAATATCTTCAATGGAAGAATTAAGATAATTATCTATGATTAAAAAAACAAAGAAGAATTTATTTCCAAACTTAATGATGGCTCTCTTTGGAAATATCTGCAAAATCATAAAAAAAACATATCTAACAGGCCAATTAGTAGTAAGCGGCCGTACTCGGCGGACGGAAGTGACGTCACAGAAAAGGGGCGTGGTATCCGCCATCTTGGATATCACGTGACAACCGGAAGTGACGACACCAGCGCCATCTTGTATCACGTGATGGAATGACATCATCAAACTTTCGTTTTTATTCTGTGGCAACGATTTTGTTATCAAAGTTTTTATTTTTTGTGGCAAGGAACAATTTTTATGTTTATGCCAACGAGCTCTTAAACACATGTTTGGAATGGCATCATCCATTTCTTGTTGGGACATGTTGTCTTACAAAATGACGTCTGCCGTATCACACCTTTGTATACCTCCGCTAAGGTGTATGGATCCTTTTCTGTCGACCAATCAGATTCTTTGAAATATGACCTCACCGTCTCTTAACCAATCATCTTTCAGATGAAATAAAGAGTTCCTACCCGATATAAGGATATCCCGAGCAACGTTCCACATTTCTTTCCTACCTGTTGCCCAGAGTGTACGTACCTGCTTTTGTTTCTACCACCGTCTATCATTCTTCGAATGGATCAGGCACGAAACCACAACGCACCAGAGGTAAGTAACTTTTTGAAATAAACTGTTTTCGGATTTTTTAATCTTTAAAAATAGTTGAATTTGCAATATGTGCTTAATTTGTCTTTACTTTTTTCAAATGGAAAACCTATTTGAGAAAGAACCTATGCCTTTGAATGATAAAGTGTTGAGCCATGAAGACCGCACCCAAGATGCTCCAAGATAATCGGCCAGCTCTTGTGCCAAAAGAAAAGCTGAAGAAACATCCCATTTCGAGAAAAAAGTGCGTGTTTGCGAAAAGTAGTTTATATGTCAAAGTTGATTTTGTTTCGGGTTTATTCACAGCTTTTCTTGTTTTTGGTCCTCGGGTGATTTTGGAGGGGTTGTGCAGAGCTATGACATCCTTTTGGAGACTTTTGATGGCTTCAAAATTTAAGAGCTGGGAATTTCGAAGTTCAACGAAAATCCTCTGACTTTGCAACAAGTTTTCCTAATACCGTCTGTTACGCATAATTTTTCGGACCTCCTGAAAAAAAAAATAAATAAAACATGGTGAGAAAAAGACATAACAGAAAAAATATGCATTAAACATTTTTTTTGGTACATATTAAATAAGGAATTTTTTTAAGGGTCCTTACCTGACACGAAGGTTTTGATGATATCTCCATCCAATTCATCTGTAAATTCCCCTAAGAAGTGACCCAAGGGAGGATCATTGCGACCGTTGGTAGTATAGATGATGGAGTCTGTGTCGTGATACAGGACGTCTCGACCCAGCTTCTCCATTTCAGCGACCATTCCAGTCGATCCTCAAACATATGGACAGGCATTGGCACATCTATGACTTTCAGGCATTTGGTAGGCCTTTTCGCAAGTATTACAATAGTATTTGCTGGCAAAAAAACTCTTTGAGGGACTTAATGACATCGTAATATCCATTGTGGAGCCATAAATTGATCCGTTGAGACCTCTTCTTTCCTTTATAGACCACCTAAAACACAGCAAGACAAAAAAATTCTCTTGAATTCCAAAAAATCAAAGTAAAATCAGTTAACATTTAATTGCATACATAAAGCGATCTAAAAATTCCCTGTGCATTTAACATTGAAAGGAATTACATGCATATATGTTAAAGTAAAACAAAAAAATTCATCGTGCATTCATTTTTTTATAGTTTAAAATTTTAACATCTTAACGAATTGCGTGCATGCATAAAGTGAATCTAAAAATCACCATGCGTTCAATTTTTACAAGTCATATTTTTAACATCGAAGCGAATCGCATACATTAAGTTAGTAATCTAAAACTTATCTGTGCATTCAGTTTTAAAAGTTTTATTTTTAACATCGAAACGAATTGCCTTCGTGCATACATGTAAATAAAATCTAAAAAGTTAAAGTATTCAAAACTTAAAAATTTTTACAAGTGAAAGTTTTAACGAATTACAAATATAAAATTAATCTAGCAAGTTAAAGTAAACTAAAATCTCACTATGCATTTAATTTTTATAAGGTATATTTTTTTAGCATCAAAGCGAACTGCATACATTCATGCATAAAATATAATCTTAAAATTTAGAGTAATTCAAAAATCCACCATGCATTTTTGTAAGACATATTTTTAGCGTCTAAAGAAATGCATGCATAAAATATAAATTTTATCTTAAATGTCAAATTAATCTAAAAATTTTTCAAGTTATGTTTTTAGCATCTAAATAAATTTCATACATAAAAATAATCTAAAACAATGTAACACAATCTAGAAAATTCACCATGTATTCAGTATTTTCAAGTTATGTTTTTTAACGTGGAAACGAACTGCATACATGCATAAAGTTAATCTAATAAAAACAGAAATATCTTGAGATAAAAATATTGACTTACTCGGTTCAAGTTTTCCGAAGAAAAGACGGCACATCCAAGTGGTCTTCAAATATGGCTATCTCGGCAAACGTGCAAGGGCCTAGAGGAACATATGAAGCCATATGAGCCATATGAAGTTCCTTGGCACGTTTCACAAGGGCTGGTCGACAACGCTTTTGCATGGCATTGATGGCAGTCGTGTCCTTATTCAGATGCGCCAACGCATACACAATTGCTTTAGCGCAACAGAGTCCTTCGTCGTCGTATGGAATAGAGAGGTTAGATTTTTTACTGATCCTATCCATAGAGATGTTGACTACTTTCCTGTTTCGTCCAGCACCGACAGGTCGTCTAATGGTGATCACGTCCACCGAGAACCCTGTGTCTAGTTCAATTTTGTCTTTCGACTGCAACACTTTCATCACGGCAGCCAGAATCTTTTCAAGTGTTAAAGTCGAAACTGCATGAGGAAAGTACTTATCGGCTTATCCAGCCCTTCTGCTTGGATACAAAATCTTCTGCTTGGATACAAAATCTGCTTGGATACAAAAAGGTCCGAGGGACCCAAATCGGCTGTCGTCTGGCGAATGAGCTGTTCGAATAATTCCCGGACGGTGTCAGGAATTCGAACCATGGGCACGCCTTGAACATCCTGAGGCAGCCGTTCCATATCTATACTGGCCCGGAAGGTAATTTCCTCGGCATGATATTTATGGTTCCGTCGACGAGACTTCTCTGTGAGTACAATCGCCTCATCGATCTGGAAAAAAAAATAAGTTTCAGTAATAATCAAACATTTTCAAAAATACATTATTTTAATAAATCATGTAAAAAAAAAAGAAGAAAAATATATACCCAACGTTCATGGGTACCAGCCATATACACAGGACCACCAGCTGATGAGGAAGAAGCCTAAAAATAAATAAATAAAAATAAATACATTCATTTCTAGTACTAGAAAAATATTCTAACAGAATCATAAGGAAACGAAAATTTACCTCAAATCCAGAACCCACATGATAGTACAAGGGTAGATCCATAGGATTTTCAAGAAAGATCTCATCCACTTCATCGATTAACTATCAAAATAAATGTGAATTCATTCAAAATAAAATACGCTCAAATGGTAAAATGCATTCAGAAAAAATACGCTAGAAAGTTATGAGTTATGTGTAAAATATTAAAAACTTACATCATCATCCGAATCACGGAACGGACAATCGGGATCCTCAAATAGCACCTGGCAATTAAAAATTAGAATAAATAACACATTCAAAAAAATTCGTGTTTAAGAATAGTGATCTAAAACCAAATAGAAGCGAAAATGTACTTACATTAGATGCAGAATAAACTGGCTTGGCAGACATCGTGTAGAAAAACGAAATGGCGAAAAAGAAAAAATCACAGAAAGTCAAAAGTAACGTTCACTCAGCAAAATCCAGAGTAGAAATGATCGCAATAGTTCCAAGTTACACTTATGCCGAGATTATCAAGCATTCTGCTTGATGTGTTCCGGCTGTCATCAGATGTTTGCTCTTTGGGCGCTGAAAAGAGAATAAGTTTGAAGTGTGAGTCCAGAAGGGCAGGAGCTAATGGCGAAATGGCGTGACCAGTTGTCACGTGGGCTGCAAGCTGACTTATCATTGGTGGTTGCGAGTCTTCTGAGGAATACCTCGCTAAAATTGCAATTAAAAACAGTAAAAAGCATTCTATATGAAAGTAGAAATAGTAAAATTAATTATATAAATCAGTCTTCTAAATTATTTACATATAAGGCTCAGACGCTTGCTGCTTGAGTTTGGTGTCACTGAAAGTAGATACTATCGTGATCATTATTTAATAGACACTAATTAAGTGGAAAAGTCTTGATTATTTAATATACACTAATTAAGTGGAAAAAGTCTTGATTTCCTTATCAGGTAAGCAGCATAAGGCCTGAGAACCTATCTTCAGCAAGTAATCTCGTAGGGAAACAAGTTAAAGCTCATAAGATGTCCAATTTACCGCACCATGAAGAAACTTGCATTAATCTTGCGAATAATTGTTTTAGTGGTTTAATTTTCATGTCTCTATGCAATACTTTGTTTCTGACGTATATTGGGCATTTGTGCTAATCCTAAGGAACTTGGTTCTGCACTTTCTGGAGTTTCTCTACATCTTTTCCCGTGGCGGTAGCCCAGGCTGGCGCGCATATATGTCATAATTGGTCTGACGGTACTAAGATAAATTTTCTTATACGATCCAATTTTGAAAATTTTCTATAATGGGAAAGAGACATTTTCTTGACTCTTAGGGCATGGTTACGAACATTCTCAATATGTGCAATGTCTCAATATGTCCAGTAAGTCGATTATTTATAGTTATGCTAAGATATTAACTTTATTGACAATTGGCACTGGTTCGTTAAACAATAACAGTTCCTTTTTAAGGGAGGCATTCCTCTTTCTTTTTCTGATAATGAAGAGTAGCGATTTTTGTGCATTAATCCGGACTTTCCAGCGCTTGCACCAGTTTTCAATGTAAGGGACGTTTTCCTGTAGTTTTTTTAATTTCTGATCGCAATAGTCAACGCGAGCGAATATATAGACGATGTATAAGAAAGCAATACGCTGATTGGCTGAAATATGATAGATATTGTTAGCGAAATGCTGATTGGTTGTAAAGATTGTATACGTTCGCCAGGGCAGATGTAGAAAGCGTGAAGCGGTTTCGGCATGCTGCAACGTGAAAGAGATGACGTTTGCCTGTTTCCTCCAGCCTATTGACGTCATGGTGACTTTCGCTCCAAACGGAAAAATAGCAGGTTTGATAACATGAAGGGCTTAGGCAAGCGGTAAAGCGCTAGATTCCCATCCCAGAGATATCGAGTTTGAATCTCCGCCGTGGAGTTATTTTTAAAATTCATTAAAAATGGATTAAAATATAATGGAGTCAATTAAAATTAATTAAAAATAATGACGGATTAAATAATTAAAATGAATCGTATAAAAATGAGTAAATAATTAAAAATAATGAATAAAAAAGATTAAATAACTAAAATAATAAAGGAAAATAATTGGTAAATAAGAAAAATAATAAAGTTGACGTCACGTGGTTCAAGAGTTCGTTGCCACAAAACCTAAAAATTGTTCTTTGCCACAGAAAGTAAAAACTTTGAAAACAAAATCGTTGCTACAAAATAAAAACGAAAGTTTGATGATGTCATTCCATCACGTGATACAAGATGGCGATGGTGTCATCACTTCCGGTTGTCACGTGATCCAAGTTGGCGGAGACCACGCCCCTTTTCTGTGACGTCACTTCCGTCCGCCGAGTACAGCCGCTTACTACTTACTTCCTCAGAAAATGCAAAATTTGGTGGCAATATGTCTGCTTCTTCGTAGAGTTACATTTTTCTCTCAGACAGTGTATTAATTCCTAGTTTGCGTAGACATTAGTGTGACACATTAGGCAATATTTATTTTTGCGATTTGAAGTGACCCAATATTAAGCAAAAATGTTGTTTTTACAAGGTAACTAATAGACAATGTTTTTAAATCCAACTTATTAAATAGATCTTTCTCAAAATTCGGTGAACCCATCACTCAATAAGTTCTCAAAACTAAATATCTGTCTCTAAGGTAATTTTTGACTTGTCCTCAATGTCCATAAGAAATTAAATGATTTTGAGAAGAAACTCGATATCACTCTCGTAAGATAACAGAAAATATCATACAATAGACTCCAATAGGAAGACATTGTAATAGAGTTTGCTAACAGTATCACGCTAAATACTTAGAGCCGGGACCACCGAGATCTCTAGATCTCGCCGTACAGATTCTTTCTGTGGGGCAGACTTAAGCATCCGATGTTAGTCATTTTCCTAGCCGACGTCAGGATCAGAGTATTTGATCCAACGCTTGTTAAACATAACTTTAAATTGCAAGTTCACACTTCTGTTAACTGATATCCAGCAAACTGCGGAAATTTAGTCTGTAAGTATAAGCGGTGCATCTCTTCAGTTTAAAGTTTTCAATAAAAAGAACAAGAACTCAAGAACTTTACTTAATTACGGACCGAAACCTTACATGCTAATATCTTGGAAAATCGCATTTGAGCCGTTTTAATAGCTGTTATATAAATTCCATGTAAAAATAAACATTATTCGAGCAGTTTTAATACTGACAAGTGTACATTCTTCTCTCTTAATAGTTGTTTTGTTACATTGATAATTACAAGAGTCAAATAGTTGATTTGTTACACTGGTAATTAAAATAGTCAAATAGTTTATTTGTTACAATGGTAATTACAATGTTTAAATAATTGTTTTGTTACATCGATAATTGCAAGAGTTAAATACATTTCAAGGAAAAATTATCAACATTCGATACCATCTCGTTTAACTGACTTAAATTAATTTCGGTGCAATTGAGACAAACTTGAATCAGCAAAGAAACTCTACTCTTAACAAAAAGTAGAAAAAAAAATTAAATTGAATTGAGAAATCCTTAAGAGCAGTCACCGTTGATAAATTTTTACAAACAAAATATACTTAAAAGCGCAAATAATGACTTTAGAATCTGAACTTCTATGGAAACTAAAGCATCGAGGACTTCATATACAATAAAAAAAATGCCATAACCTATGTGAATCTTCATTATTCTCAGATAAATCTCTTTAATAAACTACTGCTGGTCTGCAAAAACATTTCGTAAAGCTGTTCTGAAATTGTAAATTAATTTAATTACTTTCTGCAGCAATGTCTTCAAAATTTATTCTTCAGAACTTCGAGTGGAATAAAACTTCTCTGGTAGTTCCACTAATCAGCAATCTGTGTTTGAAACTATTCTTCATTTCCACTTTGATTGCAAAACTAACCATCTAAAAAAACTACATAAATAATAGTTTCTATAGCCATTTTTACCTAAAAAATTACATATTAACTATTTTTTAATACAATTTCATTTAAATTCTGATTTTTATCTTAGTTTTTACAGGAAGTGAATACAGCGTTGATATATTCTCAGTGCTTTTTAAAAATAAATTTCTCCAGAATGGTGTAATTTCCACAAAAAAAAAAAAAAAAAAAAAAAAAAAAAAAAAAAAAAAAAAAATCTGTTTTTTAATGCTCCAGATCAGAATTATAGTTTTGATGACTATCCCAAAAAGATACAATTTTAGGAATAAACAAAGTTTACAGATCACCGATCATCATTATTTTGACTAATCTTTTCAGTTCATAGCTCCAATATGAAGACGATATTTTTTTTAGCGAGCCTAAAATTGATTCTACGATATATCGTCATATATTCAATTCATAATTAATTATATCACATGTAATGAAATTTACAAAGTTATTTAAATTAATTTTTTTTTTCAAATTACGCATCATTTAATAAAAATTTTTTATGAAAAATTAAAATACGTTTCAGCAATTTATTATGATTTTGCTCAGCAACAAAAGCGACAAAATATCCTGAGCTAATAGAATTAAACTATCAGGTGAGAAAATATATTTCAGTTTTTTTCATGCTTTCATTGAAAAACTTGCGGATTTCCATTCCAGTTCATTTCTTAAATTCCTGCAATAGAAAAGTAACGGATTCAAATAAATGTTATAGTTTTTAACTTGATACAATGAAAAATTGTCTTAAGATGTAGCTACACAAAATCAAATAAACTGCAATAAAAAATTAAATCTTATTTTAATATAATAATGAACATAGTTTTGTCTAATAATGAATTCTAGGAAAGAATATCTAATAGTCACTTAATACAAACAGTACTTGTACTCAGCCATATTTGCACTTTATACTAATATACTGTGCATTACTGTGCACTTTTTATAACTGTTTAGGAATATTAAAAATATGTTAAACAAATTACGGTATAAAATATTTATATGATGGAAAAATAGGTATGGAACTGATATTAACACTTAGAAAAACGAAGCATTTGACAACGTGGATGCTTAAAATACGGAAAAGCCTGCCCCCCGACCATTACCCGTCAGTCCGTTTCCTCCTCTTCCCGTCTATTAACACCCAAAGAGGTGTAATTCATTTTCAAAGGACATCCTTTATACTTCCTAGCAAGGAAGCTTCCATTAGCCTTTTCGGACAAGAGTCCTAAATAAACTGATGCAACGCATTTGGGTAAACTGCACCTGCTGCTGCATAGCTTACGGGAGGAAAGAAAACAACATCGCATTCTCGGCCGCTTCGGACGGTTGCGCTTGTTTGAATGAAAGGCCGTCTCTGTCCTTTTGACCTTCAGATGTTTAATATTTCCTCTGTTTTTAAATTTTATTTCTTTCGCAATTAGACTCTAAACTTGTTTTGTTCAATAAATAGTTTTATAACTTACATTTTTAATATATTTTTTGAAAAACCACAGAGCCTGTGAAAGAAATTTTATTTAATATGTTCCCATTACTATTAATATGTTCCCATTAAATCACAGCTATGACCTTAATAACCGTTTTCAATGTTCTCTGCAGAAAGAAAACTATGGTATTCGTTTCAACAAAGTAAAGGAAACAACACATCGCAAAGAAGGAGTTTAAATTTAATGTGTAAAGATTTAAGTTTTTAGGAAGTTTTTAATTAAGGAATTATGTGAGATTATATGCTACAATCAAGTATGATATAATCTATCAGTCGCGCATTGCTGAGTGCTATGATTTTATAGTTAACTGGTTAAGTAAATCAGTAAATCAGACGAGCAAAAATCATTTAAAATGTTATTCCAAACTCAGTCAAATAACAAGCTTCAGAAGGTAGTAAACTGCTCTAAATTGCTCAAAAATGAATTTTCGGGATTTTTCCCATGAGTAACATGCATAGAAGCCAATTTCTCTTAAAAAGACCTCCACGAAGGCAACTCTTCCCTTAGGCAAATAGCTTTCGAGTGTGCCATATTCAAATAAGCCAAACTAAACTACTTGAGCAAAATAGATTACTAATCTAAGCGATCTACTTTGCTGGTATAACATAGGTCTTTACAGGTATGAACACCTACATGAATGCCGAGACGGTGGATATGCGATTAGCATACGGAGCAATAAGAGAGAATTGGCGATGTCTGCCACCATAGTGTAGTAAATGTTTCTCAACCGATATGCGTCTAATCATAAAATGTCTATTTTTGGTTTGTTTTATTAGATTATGGCAAAGTTCTCTAGGGCTACCTTCCCATTAGGAGGGTTACTTCGGTGAGAAAAAAGTGGTTGTTAAAGCATTACTCTGGGGGGAAAAAGCGCGCCCATACAGCCAGTCGTTTCGCCAGTATTTTAAGTCTGGACCGAACTATCAGCGTTCAGCAGCCGCCTACCTTTTAATCGAGATTGCGTGAAACTCATTCATTTGGAGAACTGCAGTTGGAAACGAAAATTATACGTACCTGCTTTGGAAGGAACGGTTCTAAATAACCAAATGAACTTACAACGCATACTAATAAGTGAGCTACATCGCATGACACTTAATATATCTAAATTCAATACGAAGTGAACATTGTACGAGAACTGCTTACATCTTTATTGATGCAAAGGCCCGCTTATTGTTGGCAGAAGACATCCTAATCTTTTGGATTCAAAGGCTGGCTTAGTGTAAACTCATCTGAAGAAACCGATAGCTCAGATTAAGATTTCTTCACAGTGGACATTTTGCTTTTCATATTTGTAAATTTCTCACAACGGCAACATTTAGGGTCATGAAAAATAATGAGCTGTCGTTTTGATGCCTAGCAATACTTTCTTCCATCAGAGCTAGATAAGTGTATTTATAAAATATATTTGGGTGCGACCTTGCTGAAAAGGTTGTATAATATTGCCCCAAAAAATAATTTCAGTATATTGGTCTTTGGTCTTTTATATTTCTGCATTGATGAGTAATACCTGAAGGGAACTCTACTAGCATTGTGGAACAGTAGTCATTGGTAAACCCATAGATTGGATGATCTAAAATTAGCCGACACTGGATTACCTCAAAGGACCTGTATAAAAACAACCCCTTAAGTCTGACTTTGGTTTTCAGCATGAGTGTAGTTGAGTCAGCCAGATGCTCTAGCAACCGGCTTGGCCGTTTTTCATAAATTCGCCAATTCAAGCCTATGAAGCTTGAAATATTAAGCTTTTCCTGAGAATGTATATGGAAACAATTTATTAGCATATATTCTAAAACATGGCTGATTAAGTATGAAATACCTTCTTTGTGTTCCTTTGTTTCTCCCGGCTTCCCGAAATTTTCAGCTGCTAATAATTCTGGGTGTCGTTCAGGGAACTTGTTCCTATACAAATACGCTGTTGTTAGTAAACATCAGACTTACTTTGAGATTTAAATATTTTGTATAGGAAATTTTGATTCATGCTGTGAATTGGAAACTTTTTGCTACATTTATGGTAGCCTAATTTTATTTCTATTTTATAACCGCATATATTGCATTTCTTCAAGCTTCTGTCTAAAATATATGGGCAATCCATTGCTTTTCATCGATTTGTTAATTTTAATGCATAGTGTTAACTTCTTATTAATAACTCCAAAACATGTTCGAATCAGTCCTAGGCTACATATGAGACAGAATGATTGTTAAACTGAAACATGTATATGATATTATGTAACATAAAAGGATGAAATAAGATGGGGGAAATTTTAAGCGAACACTTTTATTATGTTGTGATCTTGTTTTGAATTTTGTGTTATGTTAAAATGTACGGAGAGTGTTTGCACATTTTTAGAATCATTTAGATAAGCAATTTAGAACATCAAATGTTTTGTAATACATATTTCTTACAAAGGATTATTATTTGAAACGACCATTCGTCTACTGCTTTTAAATGTATTCGCGTTGCAATAAACTCGCATATAAACAAGTTGGGAATTGAACGATGTGGTTTTGCGCTTCCCAAAGATAAATATTCCTGTTCCGTAATATAAAAACTATATGAAATGTATGATATTAAATTTCTAAATGATAGACAAGAAACATTATTAATCGGAAAGTGAAAAATTATTAGTCATTACCTTCTACAAAGAAAGAAGACTCCAAACGAATACCGAAAACTTTAGGTGCTGTTTCTAATGTTTCGAAAGTTAAATCATTAGTAACAAGAGGAAATCCGCTGTTGCATAAATCAGGTGCAAAGTCTTTAAAGACATCTGTAGAAGAAAAATAATATAAAAAACCAAGACCGTGAATTTAAAAGAGCTAAAAATTGTAATTTTCTCCAGCTTTTTCTAAGGACGTGGCTCAACACAGACCAATTTGTAGAACTTTGTATGAAAATTGTTTCGCAGAAGATAAGGGAAATATTTTGTAACCCTTGATAAAGCAAGAGCTCTCCTGAATGACTGCAACAAGAAACAGTTCTTTATTACCGAAAACGAAGGAAAAAATGTACAACCTGGTTTAACTAAATTTTAATCTGGTTTCGTCAATGCAAAGAAAGTTTCAGTAAGGGGTTTATGCCTGTTGCAGGATTCTCTTACAATGGGAAGTTAAAAATAAGGAAAGCAGAAAGAAATATTAATATCAACTCTGCATTCCTGCAGGGGAAATCTTTACGTCCGATCATTACAGAAGAAACTCCAATTCTTTATCTCAAAGACTTTCAAATACTGAAACTTCATCGAGACAAAGCAACAAGTCATGCTTCAAAAAGTACCACTGCATTCCTTGAAAGAATTAAGACTGATGCAGCTATCGTATATATACCATTTCAACGTATTTCTGAAAAGTCTCATGTCTCACGACTCAGTAGTAGTGGTGAAAAGTAGTGGAAGAGAAATGGAAATCGATAACCCTGCAAACTTTATGATATGCCTTTATATCATAGAAATCACGATGCAGATTTAATTACGATGAAAAAAAACGCTATCAGATCAAGCATTTAAAAAACTACTCTCTACATTTTAAGCATTAATTAAAAGGCCCCGAAATCGTTTTAAAAATATGTAAACACTCACTGTATATTAAGCTACGTAGCTATGTAAGGAATCAAAGATTTTTCAGAGATATTTTACTGAAGACACACTTTGCATGCATAATGAACCTTTTTCATGCTCTTAACACATAAATCAAACTTTTATATCAATATGATTCCATGCTTTAAAAAGAAAGTTTCTATATTCATCGCTTATGAAATTTTTTAGAATTGACTTTTACATTCCTAACTTCTATACCTGGGATTATTTATAAGTACAAAAAGGAAAGTTAGAAGCAATGGTCGAGGACTTCATAGAATCATGGACAGAAATGGATTTCATACCTTCTGCACAATATGCAAGCGAGCAAACAGAGTACAATGAGGATCGCACACAGTAAGCCTCCAAAAAGAGCCAGAAGTATTATTTCCTTTCTCGTTCCTGCGATACAGAAAGAAAAATTTGCAACTAATTGTATGTAGATATATATAACAGTAAATCGTACAAATACCTTAAGTAAAAGTAACAATTAAAATATCAATTTAGTATAAATACACCCTTCTATTAGACAATACATAAGAATGTGTAATAGTTTTCAATTCAAGTTATGATAGAAAAATACACTAAGCCAATTACAAGTATAATAATTTTTCCTCCTTCAGAGCATTATACTTTCTCTGGACATGTGCATTATACATTATTAATTAATATTAAAAGTGATATTATAAGGTATTTTTTCCTTCTTTTCTGTATGCCTTCGTGGTGTGATGGTTAGCACAGTCGGCGTGTTTTCGAGAGATCCAGGCTCGAGTCCCGGAGAAGGTACTGCTCATTTTTCACATCTCCTGCTTAAAAAAATCCTAATGTGTCTTATTGTGTCTAATCTTATTGTGTCTTAATCCTAATGTCTTTACAGTGGCGCCCGAAGTTAAAAATGGTGGATGATAATTCTTCACCACCAGGATTTGGCGATTCGGTCCCCTAATCCCCAGTTACCTTTAAAAGGGGAAATATATAAGTTATTTTCTCCCTCTTTTCTGCATGCCTTCGTGGTGTAACGTTTAACGTTAGCACATTCGGCGCATATTCGAGAACTCCAGGTTGACATTCGAGAGTCCCAGCGACCGCACATTTTATTTTTCACCTCTCCTGCTTCTAGAATCGAGTAAATCCTACTTTCATACGTACGTCTGAAATAAAAGTGGTGGATGATGGGGATCGGGGGATTCTTTATCAGCCGATTGGGATTGGATCCCCTAATCCCCAGTCACCCTTAAAAGGGATGTTTTCTCCCTCCTTTTTTTGATAACTTCGGTGTAACGGTTAGTACACTCTAGAGGCGTATAGATAGATCGGGTCCGTCCCGGCGAAGGCACTGCTCATTTAATTACAATCTCCTGCTTCTAATTAGAATTCGTATGACTCTATAATATTATTCCATGCGGGGCGAGCGGTAAGTCGCTAAACACTGGTAGTCGGTCTGAGGTTCGAATCCCGAAGTGGGCGGCTGAAATGGGTGTTCGTGGTTTTTCCCCATTTGTAACGTTTACGAGCCATTTCCCCTAGAAAGTCCTCCACGAAGGCTGCCTCCCTTAAGGCAGTACCCTAGTGTGGCTTTGCATAATTAAATTACACCAACCACACCACCGGTAATATTATTTATTAGACAAATGACTGTCATTGCAAAGAAGTTCAAGGATTAATGTTCGCATAAATTTTGTCTATGACATAAATTAATAAGAAAAGCACTAGTTCATTTTAATATTTTGCATGGAATTTTCTTTACACATAAATAGGCATTTTGCTGGAAATGGAATAATTTTTTCTAAAGCTAGCAGTCTTCTAACAGTCAAATATAGCAAACGAATCTTCTTAAATCAGTGAAATAATCGGATACAAATTTTTATAATTAGGGCTCGGATATCGATATATTTGCATATTTTCTAAAATTAAACTGGCTATTTTACGAAATTATAAGAAATAATTTTTTGAACTTTTTGTTTAATTTTTCAGTTTTTGCCCTTTTATTCATATTTTTAGAGCACTTTAAAGTTTTAGTACATTTTACTGAACTCTTTTGTCATTTTTCAATGGAAATATAAAATTTCATAAGGATTATGCTTTCAAATTGCATTCCCCAAAATCACGATTTTTCTGGATTAACTACAAGAAGGCAGAAATCTTGGATACATATAAAATACAAATAACTATTTCATTAGATAGCTGCAGAATAAATTTTCTTCTAAGCGGCAAGATACGGCCTTGCCGCTTATAACGGCAAGGGGGCAGTATTATTTGGTTTATATTATGCTTATATAGTTTTATATTATTGCTTATATATTATTACTTAGTATTATTGCTTTTTTGTGATATCTGTAGGAACGTATATATACGTGCATATTAAAATATGTCAAAGAAATTAAAGCAATATATAAAAAGAAAACAAATCCAGGTATGAAATACCAAAAGAGGTTTTACAATAAAATCAAAAAAATTATTTGTTCTCATAGTAGTTTTGGGAAATTTTTAATTTCTTAGTGAAAACCCTGGGCGCTCAGAGGGTTAAAATTCAGTAGCGTATAATATTTATTATCAGTGTGTACTTCCTTTTATGTGGTTTTCCTTTTATGTACTTTTTATGGTATTGTGGTACTTCCTTTTATGGACTTCTTAGAATGAGAGTATTCATTGGCCAACATAATTGAAAATATGAGAGTAATTGTTAAGTAAGGAAAATATAGCGAAAAACTCAATTAAAATATCTGCGTATTCCGGAAAGTAAAATTTTAATTTCTGTCTGAGTAACGAGAAATCAGAAAATAATGCGATTAGTTTATCCTTTTTTCAGCTATATCACAATGTTTGTTTTATCTGCAAGCTTCTGGAAGATTGCATTACTAGTTAACTTAAGAACTATTACTTTCTGTAGAGAAATCCCTGAAATTATCATTTAATCCAGATTTTCTCCTGACAGATTTTATACATTTCCACATGACATACATGTTCTGCATGAACATTAGTACAACTATCCAATTATAAATATTGTGATGAAAATTTTAAATACATTGAAATATTTTGTAGCTTAATGTAAGTATCTAATATATCGCTGTAAATTTGGCAAGTTCGACTTGTTTGTCAGAATTACTAAATCTAAATTTTGAATTACCACAACACAATAAAAATTCCCTTAGCCTTTGTGTTTTATATATTAAAGAATATGCTTTAAAAGTCATGTTTGAGCTCGGTTTTTCTTCAGATTCTTTTATTGACAATTTTACATGCATTGTATTAATAAAAAAAGGAATGCTGAAAAATTAATAACAGTTTTCTCTTTTAAGATAGCAAATAATTAAAAGCTCAGATTTATTACAAAATTCTTTTCCCAAATATATTACGTCCTTGTAGGAAGTAAAGGAAGTATTGTAATCGCGATAAATATCGGGTATCATATTTCAACGAAAATATCCATTCTGACATATTTCGATTTCATTTGAAAGATGTTTTTCCGTGACATCTGTAAGTACAGACAGAATAAAGAACTATTTTCCCGAAACAGATTGTAAAACGGATTTAAATGGATTCAGAAAAGAATTTTTTGTGATGTTTGTGCGTACATACGTACGTAGATGTATGCATGCATTTCGCATAACTAGAAAAAGAGTAGCTTCAGAACGTTGAAATTTTGTGTGTGCGACTGCTGTAACATGTCGTTGTGCACCTCGCTTTGTTGTTGCAATCAGCCACACCAAAGCATATATTTATGTCCACCTGTTACCCGGCTCGGTGAGCTCACATTTCTTTTAATTCTTATATGTTGGTAAGTTGTACATTTAAGTGATTGAAATATGTTGTTGTTATGTTCCGGTTAAGTTTTTTTATGCCTTTGATTAATGTATATGAAATTGTTGTAGAGTGATCAACAATTTGAAACCTCTTTAAGTGGTACAGAGCTGAACGAAGTCTCCGTTTGTTTGCATTTTAAATTCTTAGTTGAATAGTGAATTTAGTCAGTTTCTGCACCAACTTCAGTGCCTTTTTGCCGAATGGGACCTAAAATAAGCTTTCTGTTTTGCGCACACAAAAAACTGCCCTCCTGTTCCCTGGGCGAATTTGTTACGTAGGAAAAAAAAATTAAGTTTTTCATTTAACCCTTTATCTCTTTACAACTGACTGCTTGGTGCCGCGACAAAAAAAAAAAAAAACCCTAATTACTACTAAAAACTAATCTTTGTACTCAGTAATCAAAACTTTTAAAATCTAAAGACAACAAAGAAAGATATCCTCCCTGGTGTTTCAGTAGAATCACGATTAATTATGCACTTCCACAACAAAGTCTTTAACAGGCTATCTCTCACTAAATTAAAACTAAATTTATATCTCAACTGAAAACACATAAAATTTGGATACCAAAAATCTAGAGATAGCCTTAAAATTGACATTTCAAATACCAACAGAACTCTTCAAAACACCGGGGAAAGAATAGATACCAATTAAGAATTACTCAACAATTCAAAATAAATTCAGCAAAATATCGTATAGTCACCAACTAAATTAATTTTTTCTACTGCCGCAATATAATTACCCAGGTCGGTTGAAACCATGTTTCCGATAGGATCACATGGGGACCTACAGTAGACCACAATTAAACACACAAAAAAAAAAAAAAAAAAAAAAACATCAACATTAAAGTATAATAACACATTTATTGAAAATTCCCACACATTATAACTAGATAGCTGCCAGACTACCCCTACAAAATCTTTTAAAGTTCCTCATAGTTTTCTTTCATAACAACCAATTTAAACATTTTTTCATCTCAAATCATAGGGAAACACTCACAGTTCTTAATCATTTTAAGCAGAACTCAAAGATATTAAACTCATTTAAAAAACTAATTTAGAAATAAAACATATTGAACATAGCACTTTAACATTAAACAAGATCATTCCTCCAATTAGTTCAATTGACTGCTGACTATTAAACAAATAAAAATTACTTTCAGCTAGAAATTGTTAAAATATTCAATTTTATCTACTTACATGTCAACTCTTGCTTTAGTATTAACATTTCCAAATTTAAAAGATTATGTATCAAAATAAAAGTCACTCACGAATCGGCGTACCACCTTTGAGAGAATCAGGGAGCTTCCCAATTCATTGATCCATTTTCAAAACACCGAAACAATAACACTAATCTTCATCGTTGTTTTCCGGAACCGGAGCCTTTTCATAGTTCCAGTTTAGTTTCAAATTCCCTCCGGTTAAGCAGCACTTTCACTCAATCATCTTCCCGTTTTCGAAGTTCCACTGAAGATAAGAGAAAGAGGTCGAAACTGGAGACAAAAGACCAAAGCATACCTCAGCATGACGATTTCCATAATTTCCATCTTTTCTAAAGCAAAATAGAAACTCCAGTACGAACGAGCAGTTCAGACTGTTCCACAACTGGGAAAAAGAAACATCAGCGATGAAATTGAAAATAATAGGCCGCAAGAATTGCTGCCGTCAACATGTCGAGCACCCACACTGTCTCGGACCCTCCGTACCCAGATTCTCGGAGATAAAAACTTAACTAAAGCGCGGTCGACCCCCGAAGAACCACCACGTTTTTCCTCACTGACCGCGGCTGGCCCCGAAGGGGCCGCCGTCAGAGAAAAAAGCCCGCTAAGGCTCCAAAAAAATCTCTTCAAAGTCTTCTCTCCAAATCGGCTTTTTTTTTCAAGTCCAAAAAAAGAATTCCCTCCTCCGTGCAACGGCTTAGAAACCCCTGGTTTACCCCACCAAGAACGCTCAAAATTACTATTGGTTCAAACAACTAAAAATTTAAAAAATTTAGCCAATCTTACGAAAACTAGGCTTCCTTTCCGCCAATTAAAAGAAAGGTCATAAACGCCACTGAAATTCTCAGAATTTCAAACTTTTCTACAAGAAGACAGAACCCTTTCTTCCCCACGCAACAGAAAAATGTTCCACCTATAACTCTTCAAAATATCGCTGCCCCTTAGAACTAATTTCTCGGACGCGAAAAACAAACCTCGCGAAAAAAAAAAAAAAAAAAAAAAAAAAAAAAAAAAAAAAAAAAAAAAAGGTGTAAAATGCAGCTGGACAGTGAACCTCTAAAAAGGCCTACGCTGAGAAACGGAAATACAACCCCCGCCTTTTAAACTGTAACACATATTCAGCCAAACTTAAGGGAGTTTTGCCGTAGTGTTTAACAATATTAAATATTACATTAATTTAAAATAAGCTCAATACAAATTCATTAAACAAATAAAATAATATAATAACTAAGAATATTATGCACAGCAAATAATACGAACTAATTATTACAACAAAAAAAATACATAAGAATTTTCCATAACAAATTGCTTGCTTTTGCGTAGAAATTGTAATTTTAATTGTACATTTTTTAATTGTTAACTGTATTTGGTGTTTTACATTTTTGTATATTTTTTAATATTTAATGAAAATGTTTTGAGTCTATATGTATATTTGCCTTGTCGCGAAGTGAGTGAAAAATATATCCCTAATGAAACTCGAGGAAATAAGTTAAATAAAATGCAACAAAATATGTGTATAATTTAATGTGTATATGCCGTACAAGGAAGTCAGGTCGTATCACATCAGATTTTTTCTGTAGAACTATTAAACAATTCTTAGCATTTTGCGACTTAACACTTCAGTGTTATGGTTACTAAGGCGATAATGATGAATTCCATAAGCTCTGTAACAGCATCAAATATTTCATATGCATAAAAGTAATTGGAACTCATTGCAAATAATAAATAAATAAATGACGCACATACCATCTTTCCTCTCATCTAGAATATGGCAAAATATACCTCTATAGTTATTTTCGCATCTGAAAGTTAAATTAGCGTTAACGATATAAGCATGAAAAATTAATTAATTATCATGAACAGTATACATGAATATTTACATTAACAGTATGTGTGAAGAAATCTATATGCAATATCAGTATATTAGAAATGATTTACTATTATTCGATTTATATTTAAAAATTTACATTGAGCTACTAGAGCATATTTTTGATAAATCGTCTAAAGGTGTAACAAAAGATATTGCAAACCACAAATAAACTGAAGGAAGAATCCTTAATTCAAAAGAATCTATTTAACTAAAAGATGAATCGTAAGACACATACAATTTACACTGGTGTGCAAAACCTAAGCAACAATGTAAATTTTGATTAGATAGCCATAAAATTGCAAAAAGGGCGTTTTTTACAATCAGTACAATGAACACGAAATTCAGTAGAAAGGTCATGCGTATTCAAATTTCAGGAACATAACGTCATAGGCAGACTACAATAAAAGGAAGGCTCAAGACTACAATAAAAGGAAATCTCAAGACTACAATAAAAGAAAACTCTAGACTACAATAAAAGGAAGGACGAAGACGCAAATAAAGACATTCGCTGCAAGTGCAAGTTCTTTCTTTCGTGAAATATGGTTGGAAGAAATCACCTGGATGACTTCACAAGTGGAAGAAGGATCGGAGAGCAGGAGGAGGGTCGTAGTGTTACTAGTGTAGCTGAAGCGTTCGGAATTAACAAATGTGCCGTTTCGCGCGCATGGAAATCCTTCTAAATCGTAGGTACAGCCGTTAGAAAGGACGGTGATGGCCGCCCCAGGAAAATAACTGTTGTGGGTGACCGATATATTGCCTTGCAGGCGAAAAGAGCCCGAAACCAGTCAACAAGCGCCATAGATCACCAACTGCGTACTGCAACGGAGCGACAAGTTTTGCAGTTTACTGTGTCTATACGTTTTCACAAAGGTGGCCTATTCGCTCGCCGTTCTGAAAGCTGCATTCATTTTGGCCATCGGCGCCACCGTCTACAGTTGTTCAAGGAGCACAAAAACTGGACATCTCATCAATGGAGTCTTGTCCTCTTTACGGATAAGAATCGTTTTAGTACCACAAGCGATTTTCAACGCCAGTTGATTTGGAGAGTGGTCGGCATACGGTTTCATTCCAGTAACATCACGGAAAGAGACCGTTACGGTGGTTCTGGAGTTCAAGCAGACAGAGCTCCACGCTTTCGAGAGAGGTTCTGTAACCGGAGGTCTCTATTTGCAGGAGGTAATCCTTCCCCGTGTGCATCTGTTCCGAGGTGCCATTGAAGCAAACTTTGTTTTTATGAGTAACAATGCACGCCCACATCGAACTCCTGCTGTTCAGAAGATACTGGAAAGTGAAGATATCACTCGAATGGATTGACCAGCGTACTCCTCTGATTTAAATCCCATAGAACATGCATGGAGTACTTGTAGTAGACACCTTCCGTCACGATTACAATTCTCCGGGGACACCCAACAAATAAAATATATCCTGATTAAGGATTAGACACTCTTACCACAAGATCTTTTGGACAATCTGGTGCTGAGTATGGAGAGACATTGCGAAGCAACCATGGCAGTTAGAGGGCATATCCCATACTAACGAACATCTGCTTGTTGTTCTTCCTCTTGTATAGACAATCAAGTGTAACGATACTCTTGATTGTCTATACAAGATATATGTTCAATAAACTCTTTTTTGTTTGATTCCATACTGTATGCGTAGTCTTCATTTTTGCGTAACTATGCTTTCTTCATCGTTTAAATACAAAATAATGTCTCTCATTTGTGAATTTCATGTCTCTCAGATGATTTCTCGTGAAGTTATGGCAGAAAGAACACCTGTTGCTTAAGTTTTGCACACCAGTGTAATTTGAATTAAAAACTGGAGAAATAGTTCGTAACATAAGTAACTGCATCTTACGGTACGTATAAATAGGATCAATGCGCATATTACTTAATAATTGTACTGTACTTTAAAAAAGCAAATACAGACTTCTAAATTGATAATTTTTAAAATGTATGATAATTATTTCAAACATTCGTATTGTAATCAAATGAATTCTGTAGAATATGTTTGGAGAATTTAAACAGCAAAATTGGTATTAATCCTAATCTGAATTAAGAAGAAACGCTTCGAATTTTTGTTTAAGTTATACATTTTTATATTGTGGAAATACTTGAAATGAAATGAAATATTACAAAAATTAACGAATAATTAATTATTAAAAATAAATTATTATATAATACTTTGCTATCATAAGAGGAAATTACTAGATTATTACTACGAGAAATACCGTTTCTGCAGTTTTCAGCCCAATTGATAACTTTATAAAAGATAAAAACTGCATTATTTTATTAAGATAATTTTGTAAAAGAAAATGAAAGTGCTCAAAAATTATTTGACCGCGTAATAGAATTTTGCAACAGCACATTTGAATACAAAATATCACCATATAGAACAGAAGATTATTTTTTATTACTATGTATATGTATGGGTCTCTAGGTCCTATATAATAAATTTATACTTTTGATGACTTTTAAAAAAATTGCAATTAAATATGAATAATATAAAAAGTAAAACTTATTAAGAATATTAGCTTTTCATTTCGTGTATGTTATTGCATAAAAATTGGAGAATATCGTCATTCTCCGGTGAATGTCAACACATCGGTGAACACATCGTGATACATCAGTGAAAGACCGAATATTTGGTTATATTCCTTAACATACGGATCATCAGTAACGTATATCGACAAGCACAGATATACTGCGGTGGAATTCGAAACCAAAAGCAGAGAAGACAGAAAGGGGTTGTAAAAACAAGGGATTCTGGTGCAATTCAAAATATCTTAACAGTTTAACCCATATTTGAACTGTACAGGGCAATACATATTTGATTGTTGAAAAAATGAGAAACAAAAGACATTGGAAACTCAAAAATAGAGAGAGCTTCTATCAAATACTGCGGTAGAAATTTTGCTATCAATTGTGAAAGCATAACATATACATGATTTTTTTACATCTTATGGACTTTTTATTAAGTTGAAAAAAACTAATTTTTTCCTACTGGATGTGTAAGGAAAACGAGATGGCCAATTGTCCACTGAAATCAATCAAATTAATGAAGAAGATAGATCGGCGCACACTTGATCAGAAATTCGATTAAAATAATGAAATACCAGCGGTTCGATGGAACAATAATAGAGTAGTATCAGTGCTTACAAATTTTGAGGTTATAGGATGCAAGTCAAAAGTAGAAAGAAGAGTAAAATGTCGAAGACAGAAAGTTGATATGCCAACATGTGACACTTCTTATAATAAATGCAAGAATGGTGTAGATCTGTTTGACAGTTATATGGAGGCATATTTTCTCTCTGTACAAGGCAAAAAGTGGTACTGGCCACCATTCCTAAATGCTTTTGAAACTGCACTAGTAGCGTCCTGGAAGTTAACAAAATTATTCAGCACAACAGATTTTCCTGATCTTCTAGAATATCGACGGGCTATAACAGTCAGCTATTTGGGATTATCAATACCGAGGAACATTAAAGGCAGAAAATTAGGTACACAGCATTATCCGACTTCTTGAAAATGCGAACTGATCACGTGATTGTCAAAAACACTGATGGGCATCAGCGTCGTTGTTAATTAAAAAATTGTACCAGGAAACCGACAACAATTTGTAAAAAATGCAATATTAATTTATGTTTGAGTTGGTTTTTCATTCTATTCAAAAGAAAATGCTTGAAAGAAAATAATGCCTTGTGAGTTCACAGCACTGGATTTGACCATAGTACTATGGTCAGCCCCTAAACTCAAAATAAAATTTTCGTAAGTTTTTCAATTTATTATGTTTTCTTATCTATTTATAAAAACAAATTAGAAAGTTCAAACAAAAATTTCAATTTCTTCGATCATTGGTAAAATATGAGTTAAATCGTTTTTGCAATAAATAAGATTGTATAACGTCAACGACGTAATTAAATAAGTTTACTATTGGTGTTATTTTCTTTTCTCATTTAGAACGTACTCTTCATTTGAAGTTTAACAGTTTATTTCCGTGTGTCGTTACTTAAGCTTTCTCCTATTTTATCATTCAATATTATATGATTTAAGAATAAAGTATGATTTAAAAACGTAAAAAAGAAAAATATTCAACATTTACCATCCGTGCATGGTGAATGTCAATATTTCCCGGTGCAGCAAACATTTTGGACACACACACCAAGCGAATATGTGGATCATAACATTCACCAGAAAATATCGATATTCTCCAGATTTTGGTCTTTTAAACACTTATGTATATTGTGTAAGCACTTCAAATATGTTACGTTACAAATTTAATATTTTCATGTTCTAATTTACATATAAGTTAGTCAAGTATTTTATTTATTAAGTTTTTAACAGCTGTGTTATTTTGAGTCCGCACTTCATGGAAGTTTTAATATTAGCCTCAAAGAGGTTGGACATCTACTTCACCCCAATTTTGAGGGAGAGCACCTGGTGTTATCAAGGATCTTCCACCTCTCTGCCCTACCACCAAACCGTGTAAGAGGACACGCCTCGTCATATATGGTAGGTTGTTTCAGCAAATCGGTGAGAATATGTGTTCATTATGTTCAATACATCGGAAACCAAGGATTAAGAACAAAAACAGACAAAAAACAGACAATCGTCATCAAAGAAAGTGTCGAAATTACGTTAATTACGTTCAAAACGTATCCTCTACATGGGATCGGCAGGGGAGGTCTGGTGCATTGCCCAGCAAGATCGTCTGACCTGACTTGTATTGACTTCTTCCTCTGGGGTACTTCAAGACACTGGTGCATGAAGCTACCGTTAACATTGATGACGAACTTGTGGCACACATCGTGGCAGTACTGGGGAATCCTGGGATACCCCCGGTATATTCCAGAACATCAGATCTTCCATACGCCGGAGATCTGAATCTGCATCAAGTTACGTGGTCGTAATTTCGAGCACCTTCTTTGATGATAATCATTGATTTTTTTATTCTTATTTCTTTGTTTCTGTTGCACTAAGAGTATTAAGCATATTTTCTCCCCCTGTTCCTTTCTTCTTTCCTCGTTTCCTTCCTTTCTTCTGTTTTGCATTGCAACTGTCGTTTCAGGAAAGCTCTTCCGACCATGCATTAATGTGTGATCTTCCATCGTATAGGCGTACTCTATCTCTCCTGAAATTTTGTAACCGATCTGCTGAAACACCCTGCATATATAGCGCATGGACCTTATAAGAAATAGACTAACCCAAACGGGTTTTCTCCCTCGTCTGAGGCGTTGCCGGCTGTCACCTTGATCACATCCGTAGGAGTAGGGACGACTTCCAGAAATTTAACATTGGATGCATATTACAGTGTGTATAATTGTCAAGAAAAAGCTGGTTGTAGCGCCTCATTTCACAAATTAGAATTTCTACATAGTTTTATTTTCGAAGTTGAGATTGATTTTTAAAAATTTAGCATATTTATCAAGTATTATTAACATTCCAAATAATTATAAAGCTATTGTATGCTTTCAGGGCTGGATATTTTTTTAGCTTTTCGTATGCTGTAAGGAAATTTGTAACTACATCTTTTAGAAAATAATATTTTAAATCTGAACTAATAGAAAATTTCAAACAAGCAATTTTCTCTTGCAATTGTTATGCTTTTCATTGGTGTAAATAAGCAAAAAATACTAAAATATTATAAACACGAATTTTTGAAAGTTTTGTTTAAAATTCTAAATTGTGCTGCTCTTTTAAAATTATAGATGAGTATTATAGCACAATTTCTATAAAGGAATTTTATTTCAGTTATATTTCATAAACATCATAGTGATAAACACTTTTGACTCCATAAAAACTTTTATACATTTAATCTAATATTAAATTGTACTTAACCGTAATAATTAATTTTGCTTGTATTTTATAGTGATTAGTTTTTTTAATTTATTTTTAGTTTTGCATAAGATTTCTTTTATTTATGTTAATTTAACTTTTTAACCCAAAGCGGCGGTAGCCTAGAAAGGCTGTTAGTTTCGAAGCGGCATTTTACGCTGTTTTACTATAAATGTCCATGTCTCCTTGCAAATTGTTGTTACCAAATATTATCGCCCTGTATTATATGTAAAGAAATTAAATAATGAAGAATCTGCATGAATACATGTATGTTTCTCGCAATGTGACAACTTTGAATAATGTAATCCTCCACCCGAACATGGGCATCTGGACGGCCGAATTTCGAATTTGTTTTAATCTATTTCATATTTTGTAAAACTTTAAAGAAATTTTGATTAACAAAGAGCGAGCACTGTACGGAAAATAAGAGTTTTATCTCCAGTGCGTAAATTCTAAAGATATGCTGTTTTCAACTGTATGTGGCGAAGAACATGATATTCAACAAATATAGGTAGCACACAAAACTTTAAAAAAGGTTCCTTTTGGGGGTAATATAAAATCTGAGTACTTCTATATTTTATTTTATCTTTTTTCTTTCCCTTCATAACACTCAGAAAATTGTATGCTCCGAATTTTATGAATTATTAAAATAACTAATCCACTTTAATGCTAATAATTTAATGATCATATAATCAAAAAATATGATCGTTTTGTAATGTTATTATAACTTGGAAAATCACTGCCTGAAAATATTCATTAAATTTTTTTTAAAAAAATTATCAGATCTTGTTTAATTTTACCTTATTTATTTCAAAGCGTCGCGTACTATTAATCTTACTTAATTTTACTTTATTTTTACGCAAAATTAAGTTCATAAATTTTGTTCTTAGAGTTTTTACCGTTTTACCAAAGTAAAGATGTTTGTACAAGAATTACGCGTGAAAAAAAAATGCGCGAAATGCTGTAAAAACTGCTTTAATGAGATATATTAAATCCTATTTGGAAAAAACTGGCTTTCATAATCTCATCACTATGCAACGTATCACATTTAATAATTAAAAAGTCTTATGTGATACAAACGCTATAGGTTTCAGTGTTAAAGTAAACCAGATCGTCCCTACTCTTTCTTGCCGACATGTCGGTGACGCGCGCCCCGCCCACTGGGTTAGTCTATCTCTTATAAGGTCCATGATATAGTGCTCCCATGCCGCAAAGACACTACAAATTTACAAACATCGAGGCCTTCCCCGGAATTAGAGCCCGTACCTTCGATAAGGAGTGAAAGTCACTAAACACTATCCCGTCTGGGAGGTAGTTTTAACAATCAGCATTTCTTATTTCATTCGGATTACTCAAGCCTTCTCTAACGAGCTAGTGAAAAGAGCTGAATTGAAATTAGTTTTATTGCCAAGGAAAATTTATCTTTAATGTATTTGTAAGACATCTTATTTCTAAGCGTAATGAAAATTAGGAATTCACATAATGTATATCAATTTCTTACTCGCAGGCAACTCCTTTTCCCAAAACTTTCACACAAGTTCCGTGCATACATGGATAACTATCACATGCGTCTGAAAACATAAAGAAAAGTACGAATCAAATCGTATTAGAAAATAAAGTAATATTTTTATTTACTACAAATAAAATAATAGTAATATTTTTATGTTACAAATAAAAAATATTTTAAAGTAAAAATACAAATAAAATAATTAAAGTAAAATAAGGTACTAAAAAAAATAAAATAATAAAGTAATATTTTGTGCACTACAATAAAAATAATAAGTAATATTTTTATGTACTTACTGAAAATAAAATACTATAAATTTAATCTACAAATAAAATAATAAAGTAATATTTTTGTGTACTACAAATAAAATAATAAAGTAATATTTTATGTACTGCAAATAAAATAATAAAGTAATACTTTTATGCACATAAATTTATTTTTATGTTATGTAAGCATATAAGAGTAACATTTTTAGAAGTATAAGAACTTTATGCACTTCCGTGTATTCTGATGTTGAGCAGATTTAAAAGATAAAATTGCGAAATGAAAATTCTGCCATAACGAATTTACATAATGTTGAAACTACTTAAGTATTTTTAAAATTAAGCAAAAAAGCAACCTTAATACAAAGCTGGTTTTGAATAAAATTCTGTTGATTTTGATGGTAATCAGATATTGATTCCTCTTCTTTAAGAAAAAAATATGTTCGCAAAATTGAGAGAAAATACAATCATATTTATCTGGAAATCAAAAGGCGCAACAAAGGGAAAATATAATGCTACCGTCGAGAGAAAAAGAATGAAGTGTGAAAAAATTTAAATGTTAGAATTTTGAAAGATTTGGGAAGAATTATGCTGTAATTAATTTATTTAATTAAAGAAGATAATCTTTTCAAGTTACTAAAGTAAAGCTTTAGAAGTATCAAATAAAAGTTGTGATTAAATAGTTGATTAATTAGCTATCGAAGCTTTTTTCCTTTTCGAACATAAATATCGTTTGCTTCGGCTCGAAATTTTAATGAGCTTTATCTCCCATTATATACACCGAACAAAAGGATAATATACTCTGTAATTATCCAAAGAAATAAAATTATACCTTAGCTTTTTTTATCTCTCACTTCTATCCTCCGCAACAGTTCTATTTTCGTTTTCACTTTTCTCCATCAGCTGCTTTTCGTACAAATTTGGTTGTTGGGAAATGATTGAAATTACCTTATGTGAGTTTACGTCCTTACTTCATACCTTCTTCCAACGTACTGAAACCCAAAAGTCTCACAGAAGGACAGATGCAATAACAGATGCACATCTGCTGGTGAACTCTTCAACCGTTTGAGACGATATAAAATCTTTTACTTCGATTGTGATGTATGTAGATCGCAAATTCGTCCATTATAATCTTCTGTCAAAATAATAGCCAAATACTTTGAAAACACTAGAATTCTTTATCTTCCAAACCACTATTCATTTCTGTTAATAAGCTCTTTGGATATTTTTATGCCTATGAAATGATCACAAAATATAAACATGATGTTAAGTGAACATTTAAAAAATCCATTTGAGTCTAGCCATAAAAAGGACAAGATTTGTTGAAGAAACAGTGAAATCAAAAAGCAGCATTGGATTATCCTCCGTACAGTTTGGATACACTTGTAATTCTCAACCCGTAAATTATTATCTAGTTGAGAGTGCACAGCTCCCAGCTGCACAGAAAAAGGCTGTCTTCAGATGATGAAGAGGAAACGCCAAAACATGAAAACGACTGATATGAGACAATATATTACGCCTTTTTGAGAATCGTCCAATTAACGCTATGAAGATATAACCCACTAAAACGAAGAAAAATGGATAAACGTTTCGTAGAACCATCTGACTGTGATTTAAACATATACCGCCGGAACTATTGCACATTCGTGTAAATTTGCCGACTCCTTGATAATTAAGCAATGTGAAAGAATCAATTTTAAATGTTTTCTATCAGCCTTTGTATGCTGGTGAACAATTGCTAAGGACAGATGACAATAGCAGCGATAGCAACCATAAAATTTAAGGCATAGATGAACTTTCAATTTTCCGTATGTGCCCCCGACGTCAGTTAGATGATTTTATGTGTGGCCGTATTATTGGTAACATTTTAAGAAGGGCGAAAAATAATAGACATTGCTAGGAAGTTCGACGTCAGCCACAGTTATGTTTCAAGGCTTTGGAGAACATTTCAAACAAATGGAATGCGTAGCAAACGTCACGAGAGAGGTCTTGTTTGCAGTACGGCCCCTGCAGTACATAGGTGCTTAGTGCTATCGAAAAGGAACTGATGCAGCACAGCTACTGAGACTTCAAATCAGTTACTTGCCACTACTGACAAACGAAACTCACGAAAAACTGTAGACTATAGGTCCGCCGTCCTGTTGTGCGCATTCCATTGTCTAGGAAGCAACGTTACGCTCGTTTGCAGTAATATCGCCAGCAATGTAATTGGACTCGATAGAACTGGGCTTGTGTACTATTCTCTGATGAGCGAAGGTTCAGTCTGTTTTCGGATTATAGATGCCAGCTGATTTAGAGTGAGTAATGCTTATCGTTTAGAAAAAAGAGTGGTAATGCTTATCGTTTATAGAAAATATCCAGGAGAGAACCAGTATCCAAGATGCAGTGTCATGCTGCCACTATGATCAACGGCCGCACTTCTCTACATGTGACTGCAGTTGGGACTATGACTGGCAAACGATACATTAATGATATTCTATTGCCTCATGTTCACGCGTTCCGTGGTGCTGTCGGTGATAAATTTGTTTTCATGGACGACAACGCAACATGTCATCGAACAGTCGCTGTCCAGGAGTGTCTAAAGCGCGAGGATACTCAACGCCTCGTATGGCCAGCACGTTCTCCAGATGTTAATCCTACTGAAAATGTTTGGGGTGCTTTGGAGAGGAGTTTTGCCGGTTGACAATGCCTCTAATAAACAAGGATATCCTTATCCGTGCACTGACAGATGAAAGGAATAACTTTTTCCCAATAGTTTTCGGGTAATGCTGCGCAAATAATCACATGACGTGTGGAAAATTACATCGCCCTCCATGGTGACTATATCCCGAATTAAAATCTTACTTCAAAATGTTTGCGGAGGGTAAATGCAGTTTTTTTCCCTTTTACGTATTCAGCACAACATGACCATTTTGTCCGTTGAACAATTTTCGAAGCATTCTAGATTTCAGAGCACAATAAATATTTTTTTTTGCTGTGTTCTAGTACTCGAGCATTCTTTTATTTCATTTGGGGTCCAAACGCGTTTACATTTTAATGCGCTATACAGCCGAATATGATCCGTCCTTGGCAATTGTCCACCAGTGTATTACAGCATGGTATTATTTTTTTTTCATTTATTACGAAATAACAAAACAGCATGTTTACCTTCACACTTTCCTTTCGCTTCTATGAAGCCGTCTTCACAGCTGCATTGTTTACGACCTTTCCAGTCGAAGAGACATGTTGAATTTGGTCCACAGCTGCATTCTGAAAAGGCAAAAGATTTAAATGTTTTTAACCTGAAACCATTAGATATTACACTTTGCATTTCATATCAGAAGGACTAGTTCTAAAACCTTACCTTCGCATATTCCGTTTAGTTCTGCAAAGCCTTCGTCGCACATGCACTCTTTACCTTTAAATGGAACAAACTGGCACTTCGAATGCGGTCCACAATTGCATTCTATTGTAATAACAAAAACTATGAACTTCGATTCTTACTAAATGTAAATGTTCGGAAAAATTTCAAGAAATAAATATTTAGAACTGCAGGCTATATGATATAGGTTATACTATTACAGGATATCATCTATCCTGACTACTATCATACTATTACAGGATATCATAACTTTTAAATGATATCGCGATACATCTAATTTCAAGCAAAAATATTTTCTAAAAACTTAAACTAATTAAAATATTTGCGCTTTATTTATAATTTTTCAGGTCTGTAATATGTAATATACGATATCATTTAAAAAGTATCAGAACAGAAAAATTCTAAAATATTCCACCTGAACACGATTCTACATATCAAATCAGCCATCTTTCGTCTATCTATATACAAAATTAATAACAATAAAATTAATAATCATTATAAAGATTTTGTGAATTGTACCCAAAATTTGGAAATCCACCTCAACAATAACGCCGAATTAATGCTAATTGAAACAATCCGCAGATCGTCTTTTTATTGTGATAACTTATGATGTCATTGACCGATATTTACTGCCTCATTTTTTCATTCATCTTTCATTTTTCTAGGAGACAAACAACAAGTTCCATTGTTTGATCAACAATAAGTCTTCATATCCCATAACTATAAACATGCCTTTCTCGTTATTCATACAATTTTTTGTTTATTTTCAGCAACAGAATGCACTGGCAGGGTTAGCGACTCTAATTATGGACATCCTTTTATTACGAATATTATTTACAAAAAAATTCGGAGAAAAGATTAGGCGAATTTCCTTTAAACAGAAGAGTTTCTAATAACGCCTGGCTTGCATTCATGTTAAACATCGATAAAAACACAAAATGGGAATTCATTCTGAAAATTCAGATTTAAAACTAAACCCTATTGTACTATTAATTTTCCAATATCTTATTTACTTAGACTGGTTAAATTTATTTATAAAATTACAGCTGTTCTTACCTCTACATTTTTCCTTATAGACAACAAAACCGTCTGGGCAGACGCATTCTTTGTTACCATAATAATCGAAGAAGCAGGTTGAATTCCATCCACAATTACATTCTGCAAATATGTAAGAGCTGAAATCAGGACAATGTTCAATAAACAGTTTTGGGATTATTCTAAAACAAATCTTAATTACCTGATTGCAACCTTTCTAAATTAGCACTACTTTAAAACAAAAAAAGCTTATTTTTCATAGTATGAGTGTTAATTTTGTATATCTGAATTTTCCTATATAAAGCACAAATGCATTTTCACATTTACTTTCTCCAAGATCTCAGCTAAATCTATGCATATAGCATGATTTTCGCGTCATCCTTGTCACTCATTTTATGCAAACCACATTGACTTTGTTTCACTTCCTTACAAAGTAATGGATTTTGTTTTATCTTCTCATCCCATTGGATTTACTCAAGAAATTATTTTTCACTTATTTACTCCAGAAAAATAGCATTTGCTATTCCGTTTACATTTAAAAATTAGTGTTCAAAATGCAAAAAACTGTTGCTATCTTGATTGCGCTTTATATGCATCAGCCTATCACCTACCGTATTTGACGGCATATAAGACGCAACCCTTATTTAGACGGCCACACACAAGGGAAAAAAGTTTCAATAGCGTCGTTTCTTTTAGTTCTCACGTTTCGTAAAAGCCAAATAAACATTTATTGAATGCAGTTACCTTCACGTATAAGACTGTGTCGTTCACGTATATGACGCAGGTAACTGTTTTGAGACCAAATTTAGGGAAAAAAAAGTGCGTCTTATAGCCGTCAAATACGGTATTTCCTGCTCTCTACAGCACTTTCTGCTTATTTAGCAAGACTATTACTTGTAAATATTGTGTATATTGTCTTCCAGTTAATGAGGAAAATTCGTAATTTTATGTATTATATCTTGTTTCCAGCACTCACTTAGGCATGTCTGTCCCTGCATCGCTATATATGAAGTGACCAACTGAAGATAGCCGGTATACAGCTTGCACCTTTGGAAGTTAAACGCGGGTACAACGGCTAACGGAACGGAACGGCTTTGTATATCTGAGAACATGTACAGAAACCAAAAACTTTATTATTGCTATGTAAGTATGGTTGATTATATTAAATACCAATACAAGATCAATACAAAGTATAATTTAAATCTAATGAAAGTTAAAATAACATATTGTTTATGGAAGGAAAGCTAACAAAAGAAACCAAATCATCTGAGTATCAAACTGTTCATCAAATAATTATTCAAAAATGAAGAAAGTGCTATAAAAAGTATTATAATTGTCCGTTTTCCGACTAATCTTATGTTCAGGAAGTTTATTAAACTTCTTATAGGTCACTCTTTTTTTTAAATCTAAAAAATTATTACATAGTTTAATTTCTAAGCCATATTTATTAGAAAACAAATACTTGCTCTAGCGCCGCTCTGTCATTTCCGCAAAATTTTAAGGAATAAACTTGTCTGATTGCCAGTCATTGCCTATTCATTTGGATCCTATTAGTCCTATTCATTTGGATAGTTTAAAGTGTTTGATAACATTGACCTACTGTAGTGATTGAACGCATCACTTTTAAAGAGTTAGAAATCTGTCTAAAATTATATTTAAAGTATACTATAGTTTACTTCTGATCAGAGAAACCCAACCTCTATTACTCAAACAAACTTTGTTCAAAATGAGACATTATACCGAGCAATTTAAAGATACCTTAAACCTGCTTACAATATAACATGAACTAGTCTGTCTTAAATGATGACGTTTCATGAATGTCTTTTATAGAGAATATTCTAATCTTACAATCAAAAATTTATGTCTTACAAATTACACGCACGTGACATGAATTTGCTACGAACTTTTGGAACCAAAGTATTTGTCATCTTTGATATATAATGAGATTTAAAATTCGATAATGTGTGGAAGAAATGCGATTCATAAGTTAAAAATACAGTCGAAATCAAAAGGCATAGAATTGCTTGGAAAGGTTAATTCCGCTACATTTTCAGAGGAAGTGAAAACCACCAGACTCGGCCAGATAGTTATACAAATAACGTTTATTTGTTAAACATTATAACACATTTTTACCTTTGCATGCTCCTTTAAACTTCATGAAGCCATCTTCGCATGTACATCGTTTTTCGCCGTCTTTACCAAAGTAACAAATTGAATGAGGTCCGCAACTACATTCTATAAATGATAAATGATAGCCATTCATACCAGAAGTTATACATCCCAAGATGAAATATTATCATGATCAGAGAAATAATTTAAGAACACTTTGCAAAGAAAAAAGATAAATTTTCATATTGCTCAAGTATGATAAATACACATTTTTTATCTCCAAAATCATTAAAGATTTATTTATTTATGTAGACATCTGGATTGTATTTTGTGTGTATTGACATAAATATAGAATACAAATAACATTTTTTATATGCATTTATAGAATACAAATAACATTTTTATATACATATATAGAATACAAATAACATTTACGTGTAATGTAACAAGAATAAGAAACTTTTTTTCCATGATGTAAAAAATGAAAACTGATTTATTTGTGCACAGTCTGGCAGGAATTGTGCTCCCTATAAGGAATTTTATCTTTAACCCCTCTTATCCATTTTATAAAATTCAATTTTTAAAGAGTTCTGGAATATCTTTAAACAGTACCTTTCTGGCTTATTTTTATCTCTTGTCTACAAGTATTTTTTCATTAATCTAGCCGATGTAATAGGCCTCATTCGAAATAAAAGTTTTAAATCACTGTCAGAAATGGGCATTCAGTAGCCCATTGATGAGTTCCAGATCCATGAAAAAGATTTTTAATGAATCCATTATATTCTTTGTAAAAATCATTCTCCGGGGGTAATTTCTACTATAATGAATGAGTGATTTACAAGATTATTTTTCATTTCTTTCAATTTGTTTGCTGTTACAATGAGTTTCAATAGTTGTACTGAGAATTATGGGCGCTGTATTATTCTCAGAACACATCTGCGATAACCTGAAGCATGTATCAATTTATTAGCTGTTAATGAGGAATATCAGACGTGAATCCTTTTAAGCATCCATAGGATAAGAGTAAAGAAATATAATGTAAAATTCTAAAGAAATAATTAGTAGCAAAACATGAAAACCTTTTATAGTTAAGACACAATAACCTTTTATAGGTATAAAATAATTATGTTTATGATGCCATGTTTGACCCTTTTCAAAGAAAAACAAATTATTCTTTAAAAGTTCAATATATATTCAGTTAAGATGAAATTATTTCAGATATAAAATAGTTTCTCATTTAAATATTCTAGAGTCCTTCTGTCTACAGTACATGATTGCCTTGTCGCCCACCTGTAACCGCGCAAAGGCATTTCAAGCGATCCTATTTGCACACTTTGTGATTCTGGAGAAGAAATAGAGAGGAACCATCTGCCTCGATGTGGTACTCTTCGTGATCTTACAAAGGAGTCGAGATACTTTGAGACAAAAGCGCTTCTGAAGTCTTTTTGTTCTTAGTTCTACTGTTTTTAACCTCTGTTTGTAAGATATTAGTTCTTTGTAACTTGTTCCCTAGTAATTGGAAATAATATATATATATTCTAGCGCTATCGAACACAAAACACTAGATCACTAGGAAAAAATATGTGTAATACTAAGTTTTTATTTTAATTATTTAATTACGCTGTTTTTTTTTTTTTTTAGTTGTTTGTAAATTACGAATTAAACTTTTGAAACCTTGACTTCAAATATGCAGTTATTATAATTCCTGGTAAAAATGCTTTTCTCTGTACATTTTCATCAGAAATTGAAAAATGGGTATGAACGGGGTTAAGTTTCTTTTTATTGTGAGGCTTTTAACAGAAAAAATGCAAGGTCGTTTAAAATAATTTCTTTGAGCTTTTATATGTTGGCGACATTCAACGTAATATAAAATAGGGGCATAATATATACTTAATCCCCACTCATATTTGGACTCAGCACTTCATAGATACGAAGACCTTGGTGGCTTTATAGTCAAAGAAGTTTGCTGTCTTAAATCGATAACAGAATTTACTCATTTCAAGGTCGTAGGGTGGGAAAACATTGGTACGTACTGCTTAAAATAAATACTCCTGACAGGTAAGTAGATGGTACTCTAAAATTTTACTATAGGTTGTACGTCCGGGGTTGTACAGGGATAGTCCTACTATCCCCATTTTGAGGGAGAACAGCACAGGAAGGGACCGGTCCGGGGGTATCCGGCCTTTCTTACCCTACCACCAATAACGCAAGACGAGTTTCTGCTCATCGTGTATTTTAAGTGCGCCCTTGTCGCATAGACAATATACACTAACAAACGTCCATGACTTCTCCCGGATTCTCCCGGGATTCGTTCCCGGACTCATAGATACGGTAGTCAGCGTCAATAAACACTATACCATCCGGGACCCAAATACGAGTGACAAAAGGGCCACGGGCATTTTAAACTTCAGGAAATGAACTGATTTTAACCTTTGCACTCCCCTGCACTTTCTTTAAATCCATCGGCGCATCTACACTCCTTTCTTCCATACACATCAAAACGACATATTCCATTTGGTCCACAACTGCAATCTATAAATTCAGAAAAAATAGCATTCAGGTAAAGTGAGATTATGAGATATGCCAATTTGTTTAACTAAACATTCGTCAAAATTATATTGTAGAGCATTAATATTATAATTCAGTAAAATATTGAAAATCATACGTACCTATGCAGTTTCCCTCAAAATCTGAAAATCCCTCAATGCACATGCAGTGCTTGATTCCATTAGTATTGAAGGAGCATGTTCCGTGAAAACCACAGTCGCATTCTATAAATCACAAAATAAATTCATAATTCTATACTTTTCAATATCTTCTTTATATTCTATAAAATGCAATCTTGAACTGAATTTGTTAGAACATGAATTATTGCAAAACCTCATTAAATTTGAGAATCTAGTTTTGAATAACACAAGACTATATTTCGAGTACCGAGGGGGGAACGGGTCCGAAGGTCCCCAAACCTTTTCCCGTATCATCAACCTCTCGAGACGACTTTTGCCTCGTCTCATATTTCGATGCCGCACGGACACTGTGCTTTCACAAAATTCCATATATTCTCCGGGATTCCAACTCGCGCTCTTTGGTACCGCAGTGGACATCCCTAACGACTATATCGTCTGAATAGCCCTTAAAATATGTGTTCGATGTAATAAGGCTTGTTGTGTTGTTAGCTGTTAGCTTATTTAATTGATATTTAATTTTTGTAATTGACTAATTTTTATTTAAAGTGTTTTAGTTTTAAGTTTTGATCTGAGTTGCAATTGTTTTACTCAGATTTGAGAATTTGTTATAAGTAATCTTTATTAACGTTTAATAAGAAGCTTATATTTAATTTCTGTTTGAAAAATTAAAATTGGCTTGGCTTTATTCTGATAATTTAAATGTTTGCTAAATTAGTTGTTTGTTATTTGGCATGACCTTTAAGTTTTTAATTTAAAATTTTGATTTTATATTGCACTTAACGGTGTATAAAAATACTTGTTTTGTTGATTTTAATTGTGTTTTAATTTCTCGATCCTTCCTGTGCAATCGAATCTTTGTTTTCTGGTTCTGATGGTATTTTTCGACAATTTGTAACTCACTAAATATTTTATGTAATAAAGAGAATTTGGTACTAAGAAATTTCCGACAATATTTTTTTTAACTTTACGATTTTAAAATACATGATAATATTTTATATATTTTTCCCGTTTATATTATACCTATTCATATCTTTAACAACAGTTTTTAAATAATATGAGATTTTTAATCGCTTTTTTCGGTTTCAAATTATATATACTACGGCGCTTATCGGTTTTGAAAGCAATTTCTTAGGGCTAATATAAACCGGAAAAATATATAAAATATTATCATGTATTTTAAAATCGTAAAGTCAAAAAAATATTGTCGGATATTTCTTAGTACCAAATTCTCTTTATTACATAAAATTTTTAGTGAGTTACAAATTGTCGAAAAATACCATCAGAACCAGAAAACAAAGATTCGATTTCACAGGAAGGATCGAGAAATTAAAACGCAATTAAAATCAACAAAACAAATATTTTTATACACCGTTAAGTGCAATATAAAATCAAAATTTTAAATTAAAAACTTAAAGGTCATGCCAAACAACAAACAACTAATTTAGCAAACATTTAATTTTTATCACTGTGAACTGTGCAAAAGCCATAAGGCTGATGACAGACTGGTAAAGAAGATAATGGTAACGGGACATTGATGATAATTTTGCTAAGACGCAATGTGATAGAACAACAAGCGTTACCTCGTGTTTTTCGGAACCCGAAATAACACCAGAACCATCATCATAGTTACATGATTTGGCTTGGTTTAAATTTGGTGGCTGGCAAAGCACAACAGGGCTATGTGCCTAAGGAAGGCATGCGTTCATGGAGGGCATTCTAAGGGAAGCACGGCTTGCATATAAGTCACTTTTGGGAAAAATAATAAAAACGCCCATACAGCCAGCCCGTTCGCCTGCAATCGAATCCAGGTCAGAACTATCAGTGAATAGCGATTTTACCGTTCGACCTCTGGTGGGTCAATAGATATATGTTAGTGTAACCGACTAGACACTTATCATCATTAATCATGTACTAGTTAATAGGATATTAGCAACATCAGCAAAACGTGCTTTAGCTCTCTGATTCTACCTTAGAGAGTGTAAAATCAGTGAGTACAGACCCGTCACCTGAAGTTATAAATACTTCAACTTCCAAGCTGATTGTTGGCGAGTTTCTTGTAATTACACCAGAAGGCCCATAACCATTGGAATCAGATTATTGTCTCTAATTTTATATCCATTTCGTAAATACAAGAAATGCTATTATAAAATCAACTCGCGAAACAGATGTAAAGTTTCCGCTATCATTTTAAATTTTGTAAATTCAAGTCGAAGTATTAGTAAAAGTTTATTAGATTTCATGTTTGTTGCAATCACCAATGGAGTAAACCAAAAACCAATTGTTCATTGGTTTCTGGTTTATTCCACTGGATAGTTAGTTTATTCCATTAAAGTTAAATAAAGGGGCAAAACTTCATCTGGCAGTCTATGCAAAAATTAAATGTAGTGTTTAGATTAAGTTAAATTAGGCTCTGTAAGTTTTATTAAATAAATTCATTTTAGAGGTTTTATATAAATTACGTAGTCCAGTGTTTTATCATAAAGCATACAGCAATTAAGTCATTTTGCCAGGCAAATGGAATAATTTTTTCTGAATTTAACTTTTTTACTGTAGAAAGCGATTAATTTAAATAAACTTCATAAACACTTAGATGCATATTATGTAACATATGAGGAGCGGTCCAAAATTAATTGTACTTAATTAAAGTACTAATCAAGTAATTGTTAACTAATTTGCAGTTTAAAGCTGTGCTAAGAACAACGTCTTAATTTGCGTTGTTCTCAACACAGCTTCAAATTGCGCAGAAATATGTTGCAGGAATGAGTCTTACCTAGGCATGTTCCATTAAATTCTCTGAACCCTTCATAGCACAAACAATGTCGTTCTCCGTATGAACCGAAGGAACAATTACCAGCACCGCAGTCGCATTCTATAAAAGTATCAGAACATATATCATACAGCAACTTAAAATATACTGTTGCCGAATATATTTCGATGACAGTACATTCCAAACGACAGTAGGCAAAGCAATTACTAAAACAAGAAATCTTTAGTATTTCAACTTAAAGACAAGTTGCAGCTTTTTTACCTTCACACCTTCCATAAATTTCCTTGTATCTTTCATAGCATTTACACTGCTTTCCCCCATTGGAATCAAAAAAGCAAATTCCATCAGGTCCACAATTACACTCTGTTCAATAAAGAAAACATGTATCTATATTTTCATACAAGAAACACGGAAAAACTATAAAGTGTCTTAAAAAGAAACTTAACATTGAAAACATATTTGAAGTATTAAACCAGCTATCTTTAAACTTCCATTCCTGTCCTATAAATCTGCTATTACGAACGCTTTTTCTTGTAAAGTATGCTTTCCAATGTCTCGAGGGCAATATCAAACAGCCTTCGACAGAGTGGCTCAGGTTTCCAAGATATGCCTTCGAAGGTCTCAAGTGCAATATCCAACAGCCAATTGTTAGTGTTACTTTTTTTTTTTTTTTTTTTTTTTTGTCTTAAACGTGTTATCTGTGTGAATAATTTCCCCTGTTGCCGATGCTGGACTTACAGCCTCAAGAGTTGTCTAGATACTGTCTCATTGGGTCGATGGTTATGCCCAGCTACTCCGGACGTCGGCTTGTTGCAATTTTGTACGTATTAGCTCTTGATCTCCATCTTCGTTTTTAGCTTTAAGAAGCGGAACGTTAACCGAATTTTCGTTTTAGGGGACTCTTTAAGGATTTATGTTTCCGAGGTTGCAGTCTTGTGCCACGTTTGCCTGTGCATTCACTGCTGAAGGATAGTCTTGCTTATAAACCTTAACACGTTGAGCGCGGCGCCGAATTTGCTGTCCTTTCCGCTCAGCCGGCAATGAGCTAAGCCGTATTTTGTTTAGAATGTTTCAATACATTTCATTAAAATAAATTTGATTACATTTTATTGATACTATATTTATTTTTTAACTTTAATACTGTCGGTCCCGCGGAAAGACGCCAGCCAAACGAAAATTCCAGTTCCGGTACCCAGGGACCGACGCAGGCCACAAGGAAAGTTTACTGCCGGTACCCAGGGACCGGGCCGCGCTCAACGTGTTAACCGGATTATTGTGAGTCTCAAATGTTGGGCAAGATGGGCACAGAGATCGGATTATTTGATTTGATTGGTGCCTTCTGGACGATTTAGCAAGGCTAGTTGTAGATAATATTATTAAGTGCATAGTTGGGCCAGCTTCTCTGGAACCCGAAAAACCATATATGAGAAATATTGTGAACGGACGTTCCGGGTTAGAGCATTAAGAGTGCGGCAAAACGCACTGGAGTGAAACTACAAGAGACAGTTGCTATACCTTTATGACTTCATACAGAAGATGAGAAATTTATAATTTTAAACCATATAGTTCAGTTATAAACTAAAGTTTATACGTACAATATACATCCCAGTAGTAACAAATAAAGTACAGAAATTACACAATATTTGGGATAACACATCGAGTAATTAAATGCCAAATTAGAAAAACATTTGTTAAACAAGATAATTAACAAACGGTTAATCAAAGTGGAACTGAGACATAATTAGAAAACATAATACTGTTACACATTCGCCTTCAACGCAGAGATAAAAGAGAATTAGATTGCATTAAGTGCGTGGCCAGAGGAAGTTTTACAGAAAGTACTAAAAAAGTCAAAGACAAATGATCGTTTTACGAAATCTCAAAGTGAAAGCACAGGTGACCTTTTGAAGAAGCATGTTTTTGCATGTGAAGCATGTGACATTTGAAATTCTTCCTTTTTTTTGAATAAGAATTTCTGATGTAATATATATTTCACATTTTCAAAATTGAGTGAATAAATAGGTAATAATATGGCTCTGGCATCTTTGATTAATGTATTGACTCTTATATCAACACTGATTAATGAAACATTGTTATCTAACATAAACTATAAAGCTAGTATGAAGCCATAACTACGGGTGCTGTTTTGAATGGTATTCTGTCAAGATCATGGAACTGTAGTCATGAATTCCCTGGCAGGGTTACTGTTAACAATCTATTATCACTTCATGAATTTTGTTAAAAGTTCAGTTTTATTCCCTATTTAACAAAATTTTAAAATGATTGCGACATTAGGTAATCATTAGGGATCCACGGAGGTATCTGTTATAGCAAAGATTTTTCTGACCACAAACGTTTAAATAATAACTTCATTTTCTTCAAAAATACAAGTTGAAAAAGTTTAATTTAGGAGAGTTTTAACACGTTATCAGATGCAAACACAAAAAGATTTTCATTTCATTTCTTGTTTCAAATTCATGTTAAGAAAAAATAGGATTACCCGAATATTTACATATTTCCTAAGTGCCAAAACATTATTTTCCACATATCTTTGTCGCAAAATATTTAATTCTTTCTTTAAGTCAACAAGATAAATATATTAAGAATGCTTTAAGAATGTATAAAATTTGGATCGCCGTATTAAACGTATTAAGAATAACATAATTGTTAATTGAAATTTGAGATTAAAATATAAAATTCCCTTATGGTAGTCCATTAAATTATTAAAAACCATTTTCGAATACCTTTATTTTCGCTTACTTTTACATTTGTTATCAAAATAGTTGTCTCTCACGTATCCCTTTCTGCATTCACAGCTTGTGCTGCCATTTACAAAAGAACAGAATTCATTTTCTCCGATGCAAGGGCAAGCTGTAATAAAAAACATAAATAACTTCAAGCAAAAGACAGAACGAATGTTTCGTAACATCTCGAAATTTAAACAAAAGAGAACTGGTCTGACGATTTCGGTTTAGTTAATTATGGCAAAGCTCAGCAGGGCTATCTGCCTAGGAGGAGGGATGCGTTCGTGGAGGACTTTCTAAGGGAAACTGGTTCATACACCCATTACACATGGGAAAACGACAAAAAGGCCTATACAGCCATCCATTCGTAATTGGACCCAGGTCAGAATTAGCAGTGTTCAGTTATTCTATCGTTCGGGCGCTGTTTTGGAAAAGCTTGTGTCTGCAGTGTAACGTTAAGTTATACGAAATTTCAAAACATTCCTTTCATGAAAAGAATCACCGATATAATATTATTTTACACATTCTAATGTGGTATTTAAATTGAAGTTTTACGAACAAAATGTTATCTAATTTACATCTTCCTTTCTACCTCTCTTCGCCGACCAATTGCAGCAGAGCGGTTAATTTTCTGATGATAGTTCACTCTGGGGTTAGAATTCCGGCGGATGGGCTGGCCACATTGGGATATTAGTGGTTTTGTCCATGGGGCCATTTTTCTATATGTAGACATTTTTCATTAGGCGCTGGTGTTCTTTGCCATAATCAAATAAAGCAAGCCGCTCTTAGCCATGTGTTACGCTCATTACAAATTTTACCTGTATTTCAGTAGTAAGCAGTTTTACTACTATAAATCTTTGGGAATTAGGAATAGCTGCAAGCGAGTTTTGGCTTGCTAGCCACACCTGCACAACATTGCGCGTTTTCAGCTTCAGAGCTCATCTACAATTGACGATGATATTGTAATCATAGATTAGGGATTGGTAAGTTGAATATTTTAATTTCCGTGAAGATGTAGATGAAGCTTGCCTATTCTTGTGCGGTTAGATTTAATAGTTGAAATTAAAGCTATTGTTAATGGAAGCTGGCGTTTTAAGTCAAAGTAACTGGCAAACTTGGGACGGTATACTATATCAATCTAATTCCACATAATTCGCGAGGAAGAGTAAATTTGAAATTATTTTATTTTTGAATAAATTTTAAATTCTTTTTTTTTCTATGTCTGCTTTTTTAGATTTAGAAATTATGATGTTGATTATTCATCCTTCAGAAGACGTAAGACCATTCTCTTTTTGTAAATGAGATAAAACTAATACATTTTCATCAGGTGTTGCACTAATAATGAACGACTATAATTAAGTACCAAACAAAGAGGTAATATTTTGGCACTCTTATCGGCTACTAATTATGTTTACTCTTCGGAGAAAAATATAATGATTAGAAGCCACATAGTATAATAATGTTAAGACTAAATACAACTTAACGTATTGTTTTGAATTATATTTTATCAGAATCATTATCCTTTGGTCATGAAATACTGGGATTATAATTGTTTATTATGTGTTACAAGTGAATTATCCTTAAAGGATCAGTTTTATTCGCTGTTGAATTTCAGTTTGAAGATTATAATGATTGCAACCTTGAAGTTATGCTTCAGTATTCAATTAATTACGGAAAAGATTTCTCTTAACTGAGACATTTTAATAACCACTTAATTACATAATAACGGATAATAACGGCATGCTAAAATCAATTATTTAACAGTTTAAATATGTTAGCATTATCAAATACAAATCAAACAAGATTTTATTAGATTTTCCTCGTAAACTGAAATTCTGAACTCAAATTCAGGCTTGCGCAATTCAAAACAATTAAAAATGCAAATTTGTAGACATAATTTTAACTCTTCCGCAGAAAATGCATACCTCCATCTATGTCTCACATGAAAATATTTTATAAATATTTAAAAACGATATCAAAACTCTGAAACACGAGAATTTACTGATTCTTAAAATAGATTAAAAAATTACCACACGCTTTTTCTTTAATTTATTGGACTGGGAATTTACAAATGTTTGAATCTTGTTTATTTTGCGTTTGTTACCATCACTTTCTTCTGTCAAATATTCCTTTCTGCAATGAGATTCTTTTTTATATTTGCAAAAGAGAAGACCTTGTTTTCTGCGCCGCAAAAGCATGAAAAAAAGGACAAAAATAAATTGAGCAATTTACACACACTCGCCAATGAATTAGAAAATTGTCATCTGAATGCTTGCTAGAGATGAAGTATGCAATTTTTATTTATGACGTTGGTTATATGTGGTTAGAATGCTAATATGAGTAAGGTTTAAGAGAGTTTTTCATGATGGATGAAATAAAATGGAAGAAAACGATAGATTTTTCACCATTTGAAAAAATGCTTGTTGGTGGTGCCCGTTTAGCAGGGGCTTCGATTTTGAAGACAGAAAGTTTCACTGGGTTCTGAAAAGCAGCTATATCAGTCCTTTTCTAGAAGACGTAACTGCGGTTCGAGTACAGTTTTCCAAGAGAGTAATCGGCGGCTGCTCCGACGAATTGTATTGCAGAACAGGGACTCTACAGTGCTTCAAATGGCACAGATCGTCAACCAAGGTTCTTCCCAACAGATTTCAGCTCGAACGATGCGCAGAGAACTGCAGAGGATAGGAATGCATAGTCGGAAGCCTGTGGGAAAACCATGTAAGAATCCCTTTGCAGTGGTATCAGGAAATAAGACACTGGATATCTGAGGATTGGAAACGGATACTGTGGCCGGATAAATTACTCTACACCTTATTTTGCACTGATGGAGAACGATGAATTTGGAAAGAATTCCATGGTGGCATAAATCCATCTTTCCTTACTCGCACTGTGCAAGGGCCTGGTGGGAGTATTATGATATTGGGCATGTTTTGCTGGCATGAACAGGGTGCCCTAGTATTCCTCGAGGGTAAACAAACAGTCATGAGATACCTAGATATACTGGCAGATGAGGTATTCTCTGAAATGTTGCATTTTTACCCTGATAGTGACGGATACTTCATGGACGATAATGCAACAATACATCGTGCCAGAAGTGATCAAAACTGGTTCTCTGAACATCAGTCTGACTTCTAATACCTTTTCCCTGTGTATCGCATAGCCCGGATCTTAACCCCATAGAAAATGTATGCGATATGGTGGAAAGACGCATCCGACAGCAATCTCCTAATCCATCTGATATACAATATCTAAAAAGCTGCATAGCCAATGCATGATATTCTCTGGACGCAAATGCATTCCAAAAGCATGTATACTCGATATCCAAATGAATCAAAGCAGTTATTCGTGCGAAAGGTGGTCCAATGCTAAAGAAAGAGGCAATAAATATCATGGAACCCTTCAGATATCGAATGCTTTTAGTGTTTAGCTCTTATTTCATTCTTAAAAGCAAAGAGTTTTTCGCTACTTAATTTAATTTTCAAAATAGTAATAATTACGATATTGAAGTTAATCACTTTTGATACAGTGAGTTTAATACTATAAAAAAGATAACCTTAACTCAAAGATTTTAATAATTCCTTCATTTCTTAAAAAAATACGACTGAAAAATACGTTACCACTTAAATATTTAAACAAGCTGTCTTTATCAAACGCAAGTCAAGCTTATTTTATATTGCTGCTCCAGAAAAAAAAACAGAAAACGAAATTACGTCATTACTAAATGCAAATAAAAATTAATTTCCTTTTCCTTACAGAATACTATATACTAAATTCTTTAGGACTACCAGGAAAATTTCTTATGAATATTTAATAAAGATATCAAAACTCTGAAAAGCAATAGTCTACTGAATTTGTGACTACATTACAAAATTCTCATTCAATTTTCCTTTCATTTTTTTAGGATTAATATCAAACCTTTTTTCATCTTGCTTACCTTTACATTTGTTACTATCATTTTCATCTCTCAAATATCCCACTTTGCAATCACAGTTTTTGTAGCCTTCCAGAAAAGAACAAACCTCGTTTTCTCCGTCGCAAAGGCATTCTATAAAGAGATAGATTACAAAATCTCGAAATAGAAGTAGAGGTAAGCATTTTGAAGGAGCACATGTTTGTAGGAAAAGCAGTGCAAAATTCCAGGTTCATCCATTTTTGGATAAGAATTTCGAATGTAATATGTATTTCACATTTTCAAATAATGAAGGACGTAAGTTAAGTAGAGACATAGCTAATAAAATGGCTCTCACTTACCTGATTAATACATTAACCCTTCCTGTTATCTATATGTGTGCAGATTATTCCTGTTATCTATATGTTTACATGTTGATGCATTACAATCACATGCTGGAAATTCGGAAAAAAAACTAGACCTGCATGCATAATAAAGAATTCCATTCATAGCAGTTCATAATAATGTACAGTTTCATATGTGTGTTACCACGCATTTAGGAGATTTTTAATGCAATTAAATATAAAGTAAAGGGAAGCAATGCATTATATTACAAGCTATACATGATACGAATAGTGGTAATTAATTAAATGTACAGACATTCATAAGTATAATATTACATGCCCACAGAAAAACACATTGCTTGAAGCATAGATGATGGCACACTGTTTATTGTTTACAGTACATAGTGTTGTTACTGTACTTTTGGCTTCAAAAATAAGTACAATGCAAATTAAATATTCAGAACAGTAGTGCACGTCTACCAATAGTACTCATTACTGGAGTATATGACTGCAATTTTTGTTTAGATAGTGCTTTTAACGCATGCTGACTGAATTTATGGGAAGCATCCAATTTATTTCAGTATTAGGATAGTATAGAATATACATTTCATGCAATATTTCAGTGCAAAATATACAGTATTGTAAAAAGCAAGTTTATTTTATATTAATTTTGCGAATGCAAAAGATTATATTTTATGGCATATGTTTTCATTTTTAATCTAGCACATTCATTTTTAATTCAAATCAATTAAAGTGTACTTTTCACTTTAAAGGGCACATTTATGTTCAGTCGTTTCAACCTACATGTATATATTAAATTGCCATTTAAAGAGCTCATAGTTATATTACTACGTATGCTAAAATCGGAAAATGTGCTGGTCTGCAGGAAATATAAGAGCGATGAAATGCAACTCATACGTTTGCTACATTACAAAGAACCATATGGATCTAATGCTGCGATTACGTAACCGTGATACTGGCAGCTGTGCAGTAGCTTCTGATATGTGCAGTACTGCTCTATTTTCCAGAAGGGTAACTGTCCGGAACTGGCCATGTTTATGTGAAGGTTTTCGTAAATAGCAGCTCACTGATTTCCTACATTCAAAGTGGACTGGATCATTTTGCCAGTCGGACTCACATTTATTACAATTCCTGAGTTTAAAGCGATCCAGATACCATGGGGAAGACAATTGTCTATTGAGAAACTCTGTGAGATACGACAAGTTACTCCTTATTTCTAAACTGAGTTTTGCGAAGTGCCGATAAAACGTTCTTCTCGTGCTTGCTAAATCCAAGAGCAGGCGTACAAATGAAGAACTGGAACACATAAAAAGGAAATATGAGAGTTATTATGAGCAGACCTTCCCTATTAGAGAATTACGAATGTGGTACTCCCTGAATGGACAAAAATAGCAGAAATATTCCTGCACGTTTAGTACTTGAAGCGGGAAATCACAAATTTAGTATTCTAAACAATAAAATTATAAACTGAAGTTTATACATACAAGATAAAGCCCAGCAGTAACAAATAAGTCCAGAGAATTGCACAATATTTTCGAAAATACAGAGAGTAATTAAATACCAAAATAGAAAATCAGTTGTTAAAGAGCGTAATTAACAGGTTATTAAACAAAATGTAAGAGACATAATTAAAAACATAGTGTCGTTACCCAAGAGCATTTAGTACGGAGATAAAAGAGAATTAAATGACATTATGTGCGTGTTATAAGGAAGGGATACAGGAAGCACTAAACAGCTCAAAGATAAATGATGATGCTCAAAAGAAGACAGTTCAGAGGTAAGTCATAAGGCATTATCACGTCTGTTGATATTCGGGCAAAACTGTTACACTGATTAATAAAACATTATTAGTGTTAAACGCATGTTTAAAACTAAGCGTGTTGTTTTGAATGATAATCTCTCCAGATCCTTAACCTCGAGTAGTTAAACTACACTGACAAAACTACAGTTAACAATCTGAGGCATTTCGTGAGTTTTTGGAGAAGTGCAGTTTTATTCGTTGTGTAATTGAATTTTTGAAATTAAAATAATTGCAGAATGGAATGTATTCATTAGGGATCATTCAGGCACATATCATAGCAAAGATTAGCATGACCTCAAATATTTTCATAATAAATTCTAATTCTAAAAATATGCATTTTAACAAATGTTATTTTCTGAGCGTTTTAGCATGTTATTTTATCAGATGAAACTGAAACAATATTCTTTTTTCCATTTCTTTTCTTGTTTTAGTTTGCTGTTGAAGAAGAAACAGGCTTACGAAAGTTGAAATAATTCGTAAGTCAAAATAAAATATTCTTCCATGGCTCTGGCATAAAATATTTACCGCTTTCTTAAAGACAACCAGATAAATATGTTAAGAATGTTTTAAAAATATATCCGAAATTCGACAAACATATTAAATGCAGTGTAATTATTCACCGAATTTCGGATAAAAATACAAAATTCCTATGAAGTAATTTCACTAGAATGTTAGTCTCGATTTTGAACATCTCCATTCTCGCTTACCTTTACATTTGTCATAATAATATTTGTCTCTCGCATATCCCTTTTTACATACACAGCGCTTGTTGCCATTTGCAAAAGAACAGATCTCGTTGTCCCCAAAGCAGAAGCATACTATAAAAAACACATAAATAAATTAAAACAACAGATACAATGAATGTTTCATAATATCCTGAAATAGAAATAAAATAAATCTGGCCTGAAACAGCATATATCTATACTGGAAGCAGTAAGAAATTTCAAAATACACTAAAAATACAACAAGAAGGAGTGGCTAGAAATTCATGAAACGAGGCAAACAAAGAGCGACAGCAAAGAACAATAAATGATTTTTACTTTGAAATGACACCCATAATACAGAGCGAGAACAGCGTCGGATCAGTAGGTTTAGTTTAGTTTAGTTTAGTTTAGTGACGGAGAACGGGGGCATCACCCCTTTACCATTATGGTTAATTGGTTTAGCGCCACGTCCACCCTTATCTAAAGCTGACTCATGTTAGGGTCACACGAGATCCACTCATAGGGCACGTTGATTAATGTTACAAAACATAGATATTAAAAATGGTTACATCTGTGTGAACACAGTACTGTTGTGTAAGAAAAACCTATGTTTTGTTCTGTTTCTTTACTTTGCCGAAAAATCATGGGCACTAATGCTGTGTTACAACTTCCTCTTAGGGAGGAAACTAATGCAGAAACAGACAGGTGAAACTGTAATTAACTAAAAATCAACTGAGAAACTAAACTCTTAGGAGTAGCTAATTACCACACTTTTAGTGATCGTATAGGTAAAACGGTAATGCATTGCGTTGTGAAAATGCATCCGGGACCGCGCCGTGAGAGGATCGAATAAACAACATGTAAAATCAATAAATATATAAGAAAAACACATAAAAGATAAAAAGAAACATAAGTAATAGGTTTCCAGATTAAATACCAGTTTATTCAAATTCCTCACAATTAAAAATTAATCTTATCCTAATCAGAGAGTCAAACTTCTTATTTTTGTTACAGTTACAATTTACTTATTTTAGACACAGGTGAATTCTTCAATTTGTCATTTTTTTTGTTACTTTTAAATTCATGATTTGCAAATCTATTACATGACCCTTTTAATTTAACGGGTACCCGTTCTGTAATTTCTAAGAGGTTTAAAAAAGAACATACCATCTGAAATTTAACATCTGTTCTAAGGAAGATTACACAAACAACTTAAATTATTACATCATAATTCATATAAAGACCTTAAGGTTTGTCTCGGTAAATTAGGAAGGGGAAAGGGAAACAATTGAAAGCCTGAGAATTAATTTAAGATTCGACGTTGTTTTTACATTCCAAGGAAGTTGTTGAAACCTTACTTAAAGTTCAAACACAAAAAAAATAAAACTTATCTTGGGTGGACGTCTTGAAGTGGAGGACTCGCATCCTAATAAGCGTTGACGTCGGCGGCGAAGATCCACGTTTACAAATGGAAGTTTCAGAGGACATCGTCCTGTCCTGGCACTATTGGCGAAACACACATGGCAGGTAACTGGTTTTCATAACGACGAAGCAATTTTCACTCTGGAAAACAGAAACAGGAGCACTGCTGCCCAGCACGGCTGTCCGCCTGGTCTTCCCGCTTCGAAAAATCGGGCCACAAGTCTTAATCCTGAAAGTCTTAAATCACTCGCCCGGGTTCAATTTAGCCTTTTAGCCAGAACGCGGCAGGGAAGCATGTTTGCAGCTCCCGGCCGGAAACGTCTCACTAGGCAATTACAGCTCGCCTTCTCTCGCTCATCCCAAGAGCAAGCTCGAAGTTACAATCTTAGCCCAAAAGTAAGCAAGTCCATCCAATAAGTGATTCCAAGAGTAAGAAGAGTAAGTGAGTAAAGTCTCTCGCCTCTTAGCCAAAACGCGGCCGGGGAGCATCTCTCTTCGTAAATTACATCGTTTTGAACGCTCAACCCCAGAGCAAGTTTCAAGAGTAACGTCCAAAGTAAGTTCCGCAAGCAAGTCTCGCACGAAAAGTGATTCAAACTCGAATTATCTTCCTCTCCTTCACAAACGCGGGCTCCCACTATGGCTTCACTTATCGCCCCCTTAATTATGGGCAAAATTTGCGTTTTCAACCCCTGAATGCGGAAATAAGGGTGATCGCGCATGCGCGCCCTTCTTCACTTAGCCAACAACCGGACCCTCAATCGCCAAAAACCTGAATGACTTACATTGAAAGACAAGTAGCAACCTTTGACCTTTCTGTCACGTACTTTCCTCTCTTAAGGTCAACTAACAATGAAAATTCTTCTCGAACATTCTAAAGGACAAAGCGCGCGAAATCATGACTTGGCAAAATTGCCTCCCTTTCCCTGCTTCTTTCACAATGAATCAAAAGCTTGTACAAGATTTGCAAATAAAAGAAAATAAATAATATTCTTTTAAACTAAATAATATTCCCAGAAGCATCTGTTTTTCCCCAAAATTAAAGCCTTAAAATAAATAATTCAGAATCAAATAAAATTTAAGATTTCCATAAATCATAAAATCATTCACATAGTTTTTATAACGCTATCAGACAATTTCTCTACATAACATTCCTTTCCCCTAAGGAATTAAATTTTGGTTTACCAAAATTTAGAAGACAGACACTTCTTGAAATACCATGACTCATACTGTGCAATAAGGCTAAAGGATAACATAATGTAACAATATTTCACACGACTCCTTGGTAACAGTGACGTTACTGACACATTAAATTTCAAGTCCAAAATGTGCAAGTAAAACAACAAGATTAATCAAAGCAATTACTAATTAAAATACTCAAGGAAGATCATCAAAAATAATTAATCAAAAACATCAATTAAATCACTTAATTAATTAAACCTAGAAATATTCAGAACACATACAAAAATAAAAATAAAAAGAAATAAGGCGTTAATCACAAACAAAATATGTCTAAGATAAAGAATTCAAGAATTTTATGACAAAAAGAAATTCTTTCTTTTTCCAGTTCATTACATCACACTAGTGTTGCAGTCTCTGTGTGGCCACATTTCTGAACATTTATTTATCTATTCATTCCTTTTTTCAGTCCATTAATGTAAACAATTTCACCTGAGGTCGAACACATTCTACTATTGTGACAATTTCTGCTGAGCACAATCATGGAGTACATTAAATGAGTACGGAGTTGTCAATGCAAGCGAGGGAAAACCCTGTAGTTAGAAATCATTGTGTTAGCAACTCCCCCCTGCAGCCTTCAACGCGAGAAAGTGAAAGCAACAACCCCGTAATGTAAGAACTCAGCACCACGATACCCTTTAGTAGAAGGATCACAATGCTCGAAAAACAAACAGCTGACTGACCGTTTAGTAGAATACAAGCCAAGAAACTTGACCTTAAAAGAAACCAGATTTCACCCCCCTACGTCTCACCTTCGACCAAGGAAGAACAATCACTCTTTCAAAGTTGAAGAAGACTTTATCTGTCAATTTTTCCCTTACGATAGCCACTGAATGTGTTCGGATACTCACACCCGAAGAAAGAAATAATCTAATCCAATTGTTCACACCAAAAAAAAATGAAATAAATAAAAATAAGATAATTAACGCGCCGCAGATACATAAAATACATTCCTGAGAAAATAAACACACTAATAATTCAAACAATTCCAAATAAAATATGTCACATGAACGTATTCAAACAAAGAGTAAAGACCCCCCTAAGTACTACGAAATTGAATAACTTCCAGGAATGAATCCCAAACAATCACGTCTAAGAACAGAAGCGGCCTGATCAGGGCCAAGCATTAGAAAAGAAAAGAACGTTACAACACAAGGAACCTCGGAACCAGCCGAAAATACCCCACACAAAAAAAAAATCAGAAAGAAAGAAAACGTGATTGTCCAAAAATTCAATCCAACCAAAATCAATTCCGAAAATTAACATAACGAATACGCTGTGCAAATACCAATTAGAATTTTATCCAAGACACACAAAAATAATACTAATACAACCTAATGCATATACAAAATAACGTTTGGCCAAACTGAAAAAATCAAACTATATACAAAAAATATATATATATATATATATATATTTCGCTAAATTCTGATTTACTGAGTCCAAAAATAAATGTTTGCAAAGCCCTACATTAGTAAGCAACAAAACCCTGCGAATCCCTACGTCTCAGGTTATAAGGAATATCAGCACATTGATTATGAATTCTCTCTGGAGCATCAGAGTTGCACGCCTGCAATGAAGGAAAGTTTATACGTTCAGGTACCTTTGTCAATCTATCCACATGTACTACCTGCGACTGCTGTGGGCTCGTAACTGACTCAATTTTAAAATTCACTTTGGTGACCTGTTCGACCACTCTAAATGGACCCTTATTAAACTTCGCAAATTTCTTAGTCAATCCAGGCCGCAACACAGGAGTATAAAGATACACCATATCCCCTATTTTAATATTTTTTGAAAAAACAACCTTGTCTCTAATCTTTTCCTGTCTTTCAGCCGCTTCCGTTAAGTTTTTATTTACTAAAGAGAAAACCCTGCGGAGTCTTAAAATTAAATCCCTTGAATAAGTGTCTGTGTCACGATAAGTCTTAAAGTCTGTTTGTGTCAACAAATCAATAGGTAAATTTAAATCTCTTCCATAAAGAAAAAATGCTGGGCAGTCCAGTAATGCGCTATGCCGTCCAGTTCTGTGCGCTAAAAGTGCGAAAGGCAAATGTCTGTCCCAATCTTCCTGCGTCTCACTCACAAGGTGGCTGAGAGAATTTATTAGAGTAGCATTTAAGCGTTCAACGACTCCGTCAGACTGCGGGTGGTAACTGGTGGTGGTGTGCTTAGTGATGCCTAATTTCTGATATACTTCTTTTATTGCATGTGAAATAAAATTCGAGCCCCTGTCAGTAACTACGTGTAAAGGCACACCGTGAGCCGAAATAAAAAGTTCCAGTTTTTCTATGATAGATTCAGAAGTAAAGTCTTTCAAAGGATAAGCCTCGGGCCACCTCGTAAAATAATCAGTGATAACTAAGATGTATTTATTTCCCTGTAAAGTAATGGGTAAGGGACCAACAATGTCCATGGCTATTCTTTCTATCGGACGGGAAGCCACAGGCATTCTCAGAAGAGGAGCCTTGTGAGAAGGCCGG